CTACGTGATTGGTAGTTAGGTCCTAAAGAACATCCGTGATGCTTAATAATAAGATATTAGATTAAGAAGAGTCTTATTCTGTCCCACAATCCGAAACCGTAATCAGTACTGCTGCACCTAGAGGCTTTATGTCCCACCTGTATCCGTGTGAAAGATGGGTCATTTATTTTTAGACTGTACGGTCGAGGCACAACTGTTACAAACTTATTCACTCCGCATACACAGAGACAAATGTTGTCTCAGCCTACTGTCTTTCAGAAAACTTTACGCTCAACTAGCACGAGCTAATGAGTGCGATGTAAATTCAACATCCCCTTTGAGGTGTTGAGTTCGCTAACGTTGATAGTTGAGGACAGCGCGATGTGTACATTTAAATTACCGTTAGCACTGCACAATGTTGCACAACAGTCCACTACGTTGTACCACCACACGGCTAGGTTAGCTAGCTGTATGTTTAAAAGGTTAAAGAACCCTGGACGCCTACAGTAACTTAGTTAACGTTAGCTAGCCACCGATCACATTAACCCTATAACATTACTGTATTTCTTAAACACACAGGATAAAACCGTAAGGTTAGCTAAAGGTAAACACCTGCTTTCATTAGCTAGCTGCCGTTAGATGACTTACCGACGAAAGTCAAACATGTCTTCAATCCCCCGAGTCTCCATGTCTGACGGTCAGACCTTCGCTCAGAGGCTAATGCTAAGACAACAACCTGATCCCTAAAAATAAATAAGTCATTACGTTCACGACAGCAGTTTTGTCGTACGGGGCTGAAATGGCAGCTAATGTTAGTGAGATTGGAGTAAAACGTTTTCGGGCAGCCCTTTTCAGCAAGTTTTAAATATTAGCTTAGCTATCGTCCGTAGATGTTTCTGCCTGCGGTGCTAGCAGCGCTAGCGACTGTGCTTCGCTAGCAGCAACAAAAACAAAAACACTTCCGGACAGAGTCCTCCAGAATAAAAGTACCATCTCCAGGAAAGTAAACTTCTTCTTCTTCGTCTTGTTTCCGGCAGACTAGACGCATCTGTGGCGTATTGCTGCCCTCCTCTGTTCGTTATTCACATCCTAATGCTAATTGCCTACATCTTTTTGTATAAACCAGTTTTATGTAGGTATTCGATCAGTTTCTTCATTTTGTTCCAACTATCTAAGTTAACTAGAGTACGTAGGCTAAATATAGTTTCTCCAATTGCTCCCAGGTCGAGAGTATTTTCTACAATGGACTAATACATGCTTCACTGTTTCCTTGTCTTCACACTCACATTTTCCATCAGTGTGTTTACCAGTCAGAGCCAGCCCACTCCTCAGCCCACAGTGCCCAGACCTCAGTCTGGATAAAACTACTGCATCTCTTCTCTTACCTCTAAAAGCACATTTTCCTTTCTCTACAGTTCTTTGTACTGAATAATATGTTCTCCCCTTTCTTTTCGTTTTCCCATGATTTTTGCCACATTTCTTTCACTGACCTATTTATTATTTCTGTGTAATCCGGTAACCCATATTGTAAATTAATTTGAAATCTTTCTTCCAGCACCGCCTTCTTTGCCACCACATCTGCTTCCTCATTACCCTCCACACCCATGTGCGCCAGTACCCACACAAACCCCACCTCATACCCTGCTTTGTGAATTCTATACAACACCTGCATGATTTCCACAAGTAAATCAGGTCTAGATTTCATTTTAGTATCTTTAATTGTAATCAGAGTTGCTGCTGAGTCGCTACATATAACTGAATATTCCTGTTTATTATCTTCGACCCACCTTAATGCCCATAGAACAGCCACCAGTTCTGCTATGAAGACCGACATATGACCTGGAATCCTACACCCTTTTTTATAACCTATTTCTGGAATGCTAACACCAAAAGCCTCTTCACCGCTCTCAGGATTCTTTGACCCATCAGTATAGATTTGTAGGTGGCCTCCCCATATTTGACACATCCGGGCTTTTATCTCCTTCACTACAGCCTCTGACATATTTCTTTTGCTTGTTTCCATAAAATATAGGTCAACATTGGGATCAGGGATCAACTATGAAAGTATATCTGGACGACATATTGGTGGACATACATTCAAATTCATAATACCAATTTCCTTTGCCATAGATTTGAGTTTTTCTGTAAAGTTTGTTTTGATCCTTCTTGCTGTTTCCATGAACTCCCAGTGTTGACTCAACAGGATTTTTGTTGGTAGTTTTCCATCCTGTCCTTTTAGTTTCATTATATATTTCAAATCAATTTTACGTCTTCTTATTTCTAACGGCATCTCCCCTGTTTCTATTAATAGTGCTGGAATTGGGGTTGTGCGAAACGCCCCACTGCACACTCTAAGGGCTTTTGCTTGGACTCTTTCAAGTTGGCTAATCACTGAAGGGGCTGCTGACCCATATACCACACAGCCATAATCCATAGTTGATCTTATCATTGCTCTGTATATCATCATCATAGATTCACTGTCAGCTCCCCAGTCGACCCCAGCCACACACCTTAGGACATTAATTATTTTCCCACATTTCAAGGAAACCATCTCAATATGCTTCTTCCATGTCATCCTTTCATCTAACCACATTCCTAAAAATTTTAAATGTTCCACTCTTTCAATAGTCCTATTATAAATCTGTAACATCTGTGTAGGCATTTTCTTCTCATGTCCAAATATCATGCATTTCGTTTTTTCTGTAGATATGTTAAAGCCCCAGTCATTAGCCCATTCCGTTACTTTGTCCAATGCTGTTTGCGTTTGACCATAAATATAGGAGATGTTCCTCCCTCGCTTCCAGATAGCCCCATCATCTGAGAACAATGAGAACTTCTTTCCTTACTCTACTACTAGTATATTAAAGAGCACTGGACTTATTAAACTACCTTGAGGGGTTCCATTCTCTATCTCAAGCTCATCTGATTATTCGCTTCCCACCCTCACCTGAATTGTCCTGTTACATAAGAAGTTCTTAATCCAGTTAAACGTTCTGCCTCTTCGTTGTCCTTTTATTTCCAAAATAAAGGTCTCCTTACAGGTAAACCGTCTAAAGTGACGGTGTGTGTCGCCCTCTAGTGGTTTGTGTTTGGTACTCCCACGTCAGTCCATTACAACAATCTACAGTCCACAGTTGTTGAACATTTGGTGTTCAATAACTTAAAAAAAACCTTAACATTTAGAAGGGACACGTCCCTACCAATATCCAGCAACAACTGAAAGGTCCATATAATAATTCTGATTATAGAATGTAAATATAATTTATAAATTTTTCGTCACACAGATGGTTAACAGCTCTTCAATGCGTTTATAAGTTTTGAAAGACTAACATTATGTCCTCCCCCTCTGTGCCTCACATTATTTCAATAAACTGGACAGCCAGTGGGTGATTTTTAATGTCCACATCCACTAAATGAATAGGCCTACACAAAATATATAATTAGCTAGCAGTTCTGTTCGTAATAATAATATCATAATTATGAACAAAATCAATTCTTGATCAAGAACTGGGCTAGGCCAACACTATATGAAAATCCTGCAGTCCGACAATAAAGTAGAGAAAGTGCAGCAGCAGCAGGATGACAGAGACGGGTCAGAATTAAACAGAGCTGTTTGCTGTTCTCGCTTGTTATCTTTCAAATAAAACAAGTATTTGTGCCACAAACTAAGTGTTTCTTTTGCAATATAATGTAACAAGTAGGCTATACATTATTTAAGAGTTTAGTAAATGTGCCTAAAAGTAGTTCAAGGAAGAGCCCCTGCGCTCTACATGTTCTTATTCCTATCCAGTCAACAACAGCCCAGGTGTGTCTTCATGCTGTCTCAGTTTCTAGCAGTTTCTTTCGAAACGCAAATGCGGTGTTTTAAACAGGAAAACTGTGATTCATATTCAACAGTCTTTTCATGAAAGGACAAAAGTTAAATTAGATTTATTAGATGAATATGTCAGGTATTGTATAGGAGCAATAACTAACCACATCAATATTTATTAATTAATCAATATAATTTCTTGTGCCTAATTCAATCAATGTTACTTTTTTTTAACCTAATTTCATACCAGGTAGGATGAGTTGAGAATAATTTTCTTCGTTGCTGATTATTGTATGTAGTGTTTCCCCTGAGAAACTGATGACGCGCTATTTTCTGTCCTCTAACTTTGCCTTGTTAACGGGGTGTATTATGTCAACGTAAGGTACCATTCATTACCTGCTCCCAGGAGGAAATAACCTGTTCAAATGCACTCCTTTTTATCTGCTAATCAGTTAAAAGCAGTAGTTTTTAATCAAATTCAGGGTAGAATTAAGGAGCAAAAATTGTTTGGCTTTTTCAAATAATATGTACATGATATTGTCGTGGAAATTATATTCCTGGTGAGGGGTTGAGAAAAAAGAATTGAGTTACAACCAACCATTGTCTTTGAAGAATTTATTTAACAAAAGAAAATAAACAGAGAAGTACTAAAACACATATACAGTTGGTCCAGAGCAAAGGGATCCATCATCATTTACACAGTCTAGGTTTCTATGTTTTGGGGAACAGAGATCGTCTCTCAGCCTTGAATGAACATTCAAGGAGGGGAGAGAAACAACAAGAGGGGAAAACACCAAAACAATCTCACAGCTCTGACCTAAACCCTAGTAAATGTGGATGGACTAACATAAGGAGTATAGGAGAGGAAAGGTTAAGGATAAAAACACAATACATATATATCTATCCAAGCCATAACGACAACAGTAATAATAATAATAATATTAAAAGATCATATATAAAAGATTAAATGTAAGAGGACACAATTTTCTGCCATAACAGATATTATAAGATATCACATTCATTTACAGTCACAACTAACATATTATTAGTTATTAGAATATTAATTAGATTTATATACAATTATGTAATATGTTAACCGGTTATTAAGGATTTATAAGTAACACCATTACGACTGGAGTTGAATGTATGTTTCTTGAACACACCCCGCACATTACTACTCGCAGTCTCCTCCCACAGCCTCACATTTGTTTGGCAACAACACTACAACATTACCTCTTGTGTAACCAGTGCTGATACACTCGACATCGATTTTTCTTCTAGGAAAACAAACATCCCTCATTTTAACTGAGCAAAGACTGAACACCGGTCCCTTCTTTTTGACAACACACCAGGACCAACATGGTCGGATTCCGCTGTTTTCCGGTAATCCTGTGGCTGGCCCTGACCGCCGTGCTGGGCTCGGTACTCGGGCTTGGTGAGGACCTCGACCGGCCTTTGTTCGGGCCTCCTGGCTCTTCTATCCGTCTGCAGGAGTCGGATCCAGGCCTGAAGAAGGCTCTGGAGTTCGCCGAGGAGCGCTACAACCGGGGCTCCAACGCGATGCACCTCCGCAAAGTCAGCCGGCTCATCTCTGCCACCAAACAGGTAACAAAGACGGTGACATTATTTATCATTGTAGCGTTTTATTTAGTCATAACATACTGGTAAGGGTGGAGGATATTGTTTGCACAACGATGTGTTATGTTGCAGTGAGAGTTGTAAACAACAGTGCGGTTGGGGGGCATTTTAAAGCTGCGTCAAGTTAGCAAAACAAAGACCGGAAGGAAGGTGATTTACCTTCACATAAATGGCGTAATCTATCGTACAAATGTTTCCTGTGCATACAATAAAAATGATTGTTGAGTACATTTTTATTTTCAACTTTCGCGGTCCTGTCACCACATTTGCTTACCAGCAAAGGTTACAGGCGGCATATGTCGATATGTTCTTATTTTAATTTTGACCGGAAGTCGTGGCATTGAGTTCTACCGGGCTTGACACTGCAACCAAATGGCCTCACCAGAGTTGCATCTATCAGCGCATCCATCTGTGCAGTATGGCCTAGTGCCACCAGAGTGTCCATGCAGCAAAAGAAGCATCCAGATACTGCAGCAGAGTCAACATACATTCACAAAAAGCTTAGTTTGGATAAAAGTCATCCAAATACACACGTTTTGTGTGTTTGACCACTACTATACTAGATTTGAACACAACTAGAACAACTTGTGTCTTAGTAAAAGGTTTATTAAGGTTTGTGAATGAAAAATGACCACTGTGTGTGTGCGTGTTTGTCTGTTTTCCAGCTGGTTAAGGGTATCCGCTACACTATAACAGTGGAACTGAGTAACACTCAATGTAAGAAATCCACCATGCTCAGGACATGTGACTTCTATCCCGTGTCACAGAAACTCAAGGTACGATGTGTGTTTGTTTGTGACTCTCCCTGAGTAAGAGAGAGTCGGTCAATGTCATGGTTTTACAATCGCAGATTTCACTAAGATGTATGTTATATCCCTAAATGGGGAGGTGCTTTTGTGTGCATGTAATTGTGTACATCATTATTTCAACAGTGTAGTTCAGTTTGTTCAGCATCACCAGTCACCTGATGTTCTTGTGACTTGAGTTTGAGTTGAAGCACCCTCATGCCTCACGCCCACAGGCTTGCATGCACAACACTGAGACATAAGCTTTTCTTTTTGTTAGCTTATTTGTTCCTCTATTCTTAGACTGTATAGTGGAAACATATTTCCATTTTAATGAGCTCTCTTTTAAAGCCCAGGAAGAAGAAAAAAAACAGATGGCCGTTTCACTTTTAAAATGTAAAGACATGAAAATGACATAAATAACTTGCTCTGTTTGATGTTGTTAGCCTGAGCTGCAGTGTTAAACACCTGATTCCACTTACAGAAATAATTTTCAACACACTGAGTGTATACTGTATATGACAATATAATTAGGTTAATTCACTGTTTATAGTATGTGTATGTTTTTTGTTCATTTCAGACGGAGGTATGTGTTTTTGAAGTGTGGGACGTTCCCTGGCAGGGCACTTCAACTCTGCTCAAACAGAAGTGCCAGCCTAAAGGTCAGTCAGCATCCAAAAACATTGATCACTAAACATCTAGGAGTCATGGTTTTTCAGTTACACCTGTCCTGCGGTCAAATATAGCTGAAGAGCACAGCTATGACTCATAGGTATCTGGGGCATTTATTCTTACCCCTCTAGGTTAACTGTAATTGTATAACTGTTGACCTATTGTTTATGTACTGGTGCATATAAAAAAAATCTGAATATTGGAAAAGACTAAGAGATTAAAGACTTAGGGAACCTTTGCAGGTGTTAAGTTAATTAGCTGATTAGAGAGCTCTTCTCAGGTCGACATTTCTGTAATATTAATTCTTTGTTCTGAAATTCTAATACAATTTTGAGATACTGGAGTTAAGATTTTCATGAGCTGTAAGCTGTAATCATCAAGATTTTTTTAAAAAGGGCTTTAAATACCGTATTTCACTTTATGTGTAATGAATCTAGAATATATAAAATATAGATGTTCTAATTTTTTGAGATGCACCTGTAGTTTCGGTGTTATCCCATGATGCATTGCTTCCTCTGTAATTGCAGCAGTAACTTCCAGGATGTCAAACTGGTTAAAACAATGTATTAAAAATATGTTACACCAGGACAAAACTTTGCATGTTTACAGTTTTGTAGATATGACCTTCACTGCTTAGTGGTAAAATAGTTCTGATTTTGTCAGTAAATGTTGATTTTTGCCTTCCTGTAAACATAAGTTATATGCATTAATAGAATGTATTTTAGGCTTCTCCGTCGTAGGCCTACTTTGTGATTCAGGCTTAAAAGACGAGTGTTTATTTTTCATGCACAAGCCATAATGAATTATGTCAAACTTGCACTTGTTCTGCACCTTCCGTGTATTTCCAGTAATTCGACGTATGCACATCTGAGACTTAACATGTTGTCCTGAATGTCTCATCAGTTGAACCTCAACTAGAGGAGACCAACAAGGTCGTGGACGCATTCACCAGCAAGCCCCTGGAGGTAAAAATTATATCATAGTCAATAACTGTATATCAATAACAGGACTGGCTTATCTGTCTTATATTCTCCAGCTGTGCATTTGTTGTGTAAACAGTCAATTTGAACTTTGAGAGTGAGGTATGTGTTGTTGAATTTGTGTGTTTGTCTGCGCTTTATCTGTCAGGAGTCTGTGGAGCTGTTGGGCCAGTTCAAAGAGTTCATGGTTAAATACAGCAAGGTCTACAGCAGCCAAGAGGGTGAGAGACTGACACATGTAAAGTATATACAGTACATACCAAACATAGGAAGGTGCATATAGTGTTGCTTTTCCTGTCTTCACCGTCCTGCTTATAGCAACAATAAAAGCCTACCTTAACATAAGAATAAATAACCTCATCCATTCAGAGCCTATGAAATTAGGATATCATGTGTACTGGTTTTTATTGGTTACAAGCATCTCATCAGCTGTGAATAAACATTACCAGGTTTAAAATAGCAAAAAATGATGGATAAGACATGAAATGCACATAAATATGAATACACTATTAGAAATAAAAAATAAAAAGATAAACAGACAGACAGAGCAACTGATTATATCTCAGTCAGAAAGTGGCAGATCTTCCAAGAGAGACTTTAGAACAAGAAATATTCACTGGAAAAACAACAACAGGCAGAACCAACACAACTACACAATAAACAAATAGTCATTATTAGTTACAAGAATCATAGAAAATGTAAGATGATAATAGAGCTTCAAAATCTCCAGGGGGAATATAAGACTGGATTTTGAGTTTGCAGTTCATTCCATTTAAAAGGTGTGTAGTACCTGAATCCAGTTCTGCCAACTTTAGTGTGTACATGAGGGAAATGTGAGGTTAGGTAGGCAGTTACCTGGTCATGTGCTGTAGTTATGAGATTTAAATGAGAGAAGAGATGTGAGGTACCTTGGAAGCTTCAACTGTCAAGCTTTATAGATGAATAACATGATATAATAGATAATCAATAATAGATTAGATAAGGACTGACTGGTTGTTTGAGAAGATCATCAGTGTTTGGATCTGGGCTGACCCAGATCCAAACACTGATGATTAAAAATGTAAAAGATTAATATACAGGGCAGGAAAACAAAGTCTCTTACTGTCAAGTGCCAAATCATGTGGTATGTATGTCTTTTACCGTTGATACTGCAGAGACCGACCGTCGGTTGCGCATCTTCCACGAGAACCTGAAGACTGCTGAGAAGATCCAGTCTTTGGATCAAGGTTCAGCTGAGTATGGAGTCACCAAGTTCAGCGACCTAACTGGTATGTGTGTGTGCATTTGCTTGTATTTCCACACCGTTGTCAATGAGGAAATACAACTTCTGCTTTTCATGTGTTGCATCTGCCCCCCCCCCCAATAAATGTCTGAAGTAACACAAAAGTGTGACTTCTGTCCTTGTGATTTTTCTCCAGAGGAAGAGTTTCGCTCTACGTACCTGAACCCGCTACTGAGTCAATGGACTCTTCATCGACCAATGAAACCGGCCTCACCTGCCCGAGACCCCGCCCCTCCCAGCTGGGACTGGCGGGATCATGGAGCTGTCACACCTGTTAAGAACCAGGTACCAACAAACAGACTTATTTATGGGGCAGTCCCTCTAATCCTATGTTACTAATGATTAAGTTATACCTCCTGTGTGTGTGTGTGTGTGTTTCTTGCAGGGTATGTGTGGATCCTGCTGGGCATTTTCTGTTACGGGCAACATTGAAGGCCAGTGGTTCCTGAAAAATGGCACGCTGCTGTCCCTCTCTGAACAAGGTAACACACGTGTATACACATGTGCACAAACACAGATGATACAACATTTCAACAACTTTCTCCTGCAGCCATGATTTGATTGGTTCACTGATTTGTCCCTCACAGAGCTGGTTGACTGTGATGGGCTAGACCAGGCGTGCCGTGGAGGGCTGCCGTCCAATGCTTATGAAGCTATTGAGAAGCTGGGTAAGCAAGACACGGGTGGAGGACAAGTGATGTGGCAACACTTTGAATCATTTTAGCTCCCAATCCCCACCTCTTCTTACATTACAGCTATTTGTTGCACAAGCATACATGTGATTTATGCTGATGCAGAGGGCAAGCTTTAACCTTTTAATCTTCATCCTTCAAGGTGGTCTGGAGACAGAGACTGACTACACCTACAGCGGGCACAAGCAGAGGTGCGACTTCACCACCATGAAGGTGGCCGCCTACATCAACAGCTCTGTGGAGCTGTCCAAAGATGAGAAGGGTGAGTGGGCTGAGCGAACAGAGAGGCAGTGAGGAAGAAAGGGAAGAGAAGGCGCTGATAAATGTTCCAACAGCATTTCCATACTAAAATAAACACACTGAAAGTGACATACAGTGAATCCAGTGATTTGTCGTTTCCTATTTCAAAGACAAATGCACAGTGTAGTGGATATGAATGGGTGCTGATTTTGCAGGTATATTAACTGTAACTAGAAAATTCAGCCATGTGGCAGTTTGAAACAAAGGGCTGTTAAATGGACTCATTTTTGTTTTGTTTTGTTTTTCTCCTCAGAAATTGCAGCTTGGCTGGCTGAGAATGGACCAATCTCTGTTGCTCTAAATGCCTTTGCCATGCAGGTAAGCCGTTTTCTCACTGCTATACTCATCAACCACAGCAACAAATTCGACATACTCAACACACTTCCATCACGTCCATGAGAACTATATATCAAGAGATAACAGCATCATGTCAAAATGCATCTTATTCTTTACAAGAATTTATCCACATTTAATTAATTTCATAATTGTCTTCTGAATGTCTGAAGTTCTACAGGAAGGGTGTGTCTCACCCTTTGAAAATCTTCTGTAACCCCTGGATGATCGACCACGCTGTGCTGCTGGTGGGATACGGAGACCGTAAGTGTTTTTATCCTCTCTTCATTTACTCAGTTCCCACTCCTGCGACAGACACATTTGTAACATGCATATCAACTTGAAGGATGATCATTTTGTGAATCAAACTGCAGGATGCAGTCAGGTGCATTTTATGAATGTTTCTGTGCTTTCAGGTAACGGTGTCCCATTCTGGGCCATCAAAAACAGCTGGGGGGAAGATTATGGAGACCAGGTGAGACAACCCCACCTATTAAGACTCTTTGTTTGTAGATTTAGAGAAAGAGTGTAGTGTAGTGGCTCACGTGAAATGTTTCAATGTGCACTCGAGTTTGAAACGATAAGAAGTTGACCTAAACAATCCAAGTGATGATGAAAACCCCGCTTCTAACTGTGACTGCATGTTTTACATTCACCTCATATAGGGACGGGGCACATTAAAATGAGCCTGTCCACTTTTACAGTCTAATAGGATTTAGTACCACAGCCCTGCAACATGTAACATTATTGTGAAGGTTAGATTGTTCAGTGTTTTGAAGACCGCCAAAGAGATGATGTTTATGCTCAGTGATAATGGGACACATACTGTACAGAACTAACTACTGTTTTTTATCATGTTGTGTTTAATTGTAAGGTTTTATCATACAGGATAAAAGGTTAGTTAGCTACTTTATTGCTGCCCATATAAAGTAGTGAGAATATGTGTGATTCTCTCTTTCTCTCGCACAGGGTTACTACTACCTATACAGGGGGTCCAATGCGTGTGGGATCAACAAGATGTGCTCATCTGCTGTAGTCAACTAAACCACTAACACTACACATTCTCACACACACACACACACACACACACACACACACACACACACACACACACACACACACATTTGATCCATTGTTTCCGTTAAACCAGATGTTGCACCTTCATACCTCACACCTCGTGTTACTATACTAGAAACATACCAGCTCTAATTAAGCTAGTGTTTTTGAGAAATTTTTGAGTGATTTTAAAGTAGATTTTATTTGCATTTTGTTCCACAAGTCATAAAGATTGCTGTGTTTTAGGCAGTATTGGTTTTAACTCTCCTCATTGTAACTGAGCCCATGATCAATAAAGAATGTGCACTAATTCTAGTTAGACTGCTGTCTTGTCAGTTTTCTCGGATGTTTTGTTTCCAGTGTTTCTGCTAATGCTATGTAGTACTTTTGAAAGATGGGAGTTTTACCTTATGTATTGGTCTGCACATTACTCCATAGCTGCAATGCAATTGTAAAAACTGCTGTAAGACAGTGAGAAATGAATGATGGTTGAATAAAGAATTGTGGAAGCCTGTTCTTTGTTTATGGTGTTTTATGCAACAGAACAAAAAACTTTGCATGATACTCCCCAAAATCTTATCTACAATGCTAAATACAAAAGTCACTTCAATCCTGCTGAAAAAGCATCTAAACTCATTTTAGTATTCACTGACAACATAAACTATATTAGTCACCAACATACTTGATTAATTGACAATTCCTCATTTGCCACAGTAGGCAAGATTCAACATTACCAAATGGGTTTGGATCCCGGCCCATTTGTCACATACTGGCTTAGGGAGAGGGACTCCATGCAAGGTACTTAGTTAAAATGAGTATAATTTATTAAACTAGGTGCAACGAAGATGCCACAGCATGGATGTACCTTGCAAGAAGGGAGAGACTGAACTGTTCTTCTTGTTTCCGGCAGACTACACGCATCTATGGCGTATTGCTGCCCTCCACTGTTCGTTATTCACATCTTAATGGTGCCTATATCCTTTTGTATAATCCAGTTTGATGAAGTTTCTTCATTTTGTTCCAGATATCCAAATTAAGTAGAGGGCGTAGGCTAAATATAGTTTCTCCAATTGCTCCTACGTCTCTAAACAATTTCCTCCTTTGACGAGAGTACTTTCTGCAATGAACTAATACATGCTTCCCTGTTTCCTTGTCTGCGCTTTCTCCATTAGGATGTTTACCAAATCAGAGCCAGCCCACTCCTCAGCCCACAGTGCCCAGACCTCAATCTGGATAGAACTGCTTCATCTCTTCTCTTACATCTAAAAGCACATTTTCCTTTCTCTTCAATTCTTTGTACTGAGTAATATATCCTCCTCTTCCTTTCATTTTCCCATGATTTTTCTATCCATTTTTTTATTTCTGTGTAGTCTGGTGACCTATACTGTAAATTAATTTGAACTCTTTCCTCCAGCACTGCCTTCTTTGCCACCTCATCTGCCTCCTCATTACCCTCCACACCCATATGGGCCAGAGCCCACAGAAACCCCACCTTATACCCTGCTTTGTGAATTCTATACAACACCTGCATAATTTCCACAAGTGAATCAGGTCTGGACTGTTTTAGTATCTTTAATTGTAATTAGAGTTGCTGCTGAATCACTACATATGACTGAATGTTCCTGTTTATTATCTTCAACCCACCTTAATGCCCAGAGAACTGCCACGAGCTCTGCTATGAAGACTGACATGTGATCTGGAATCCTACACCCTTTTTTATAACCTATTTCTGGAATGCTAACACCAAAAGCCTCTTCACCGCTCTCAGGATCCTTTGACCCATCAGTATAAATTTGTAAGTGGCCTCCCCATAATTGACACATCCGGACTTTTATCTCCTTCACTACAGCCTCTGACATATTTATTTTTTTCATAAAATATAACTCAACAATGGGATCTGGGATCAACCATGAAGGTATATCCGAACGACATACATTCAAATTCACAATACCAATTTCATCTGCCATAGATTGAAGTTTTCTGTTAAGTTTGTTTTGATCCTCCTTGCTTTTCCCATAAACACCCAATGCTGACTCTACCTGCTTTTTGTTAATTTTATTGTAATTTTTCATTATGTCCTTTTAATTTCATTAAATACTTCAAACCAAGTTTATGTTTTCTTATTTCTAAGGGCATCTCCCCTGTTTCTATTAATAGTGCCCGTATTGGAGTGCAGCTGAGTTTGCAAAGACCTGTTCAGGAGTAGCCTATCGTTCCCGGACCTATACAGGGCGTCAGGCAATACCCCTTCAAACAAATCCTCACAATAAACAATACAAAATCACGATTAATCACACAAATTCAGAAACTGCCTCTCAATTTAAATTTCCCTCTAAACGTGCTGTCTCTAACACCTACATCGTACTTCCGCCTTTTATACGTCCTTCCGAGACTGAACATGAATACATGGGCCAGGTGAGCGCAATAAACTGACGACCCTCCTAATTCAGCGAATTGCCTGCTGAGGTTGTCCTGCCAACCTCCAGACAATGAGAGGGTCATCACAACTGGAGCAACAGAATGACTCTTTCACGATAAATACAAATAACTTCAATATTACATTTGACTGTGATTAGATTATATTGTCTATAGTTAATTAATAAACCAAAATGAGCATCAACTTTCTAAAATATCATAGTGACCTTCTATGAAAACGACATATTCCTTAATAAACACACACTGCTATTATGGTCTGTCTGGACCCTTATGTACTCTGCTTATAAGTATTTAATAATTCATGAGAAGAAAATGCTGACATTAATAAAGAAAAACTTATTTTATACCCATGTAACCATGAGCAGGATGTGGTAACAGGAGCTTTATTGAATGCTAGTGATCTTGAATAATACTCAAATTGAGAGAAAACAAAACTCTATTTCCCACAATGCAAAGCGACTGAAAATAAGACCAGTGTTCTAGAAACAAAACTCTATTTTATACAATTATGAGTTCAGACAATAAATAACTATTGATGATTAAGTTACAAAGTTAAATTATAATGGCCACTTCTTTGTGTGAAATGTTTAACCCGCATCGCATGGCTGTTTTGCTACAGATAAAAGGGGGGGGGGGGGATCTTTATTTTGAAAAGGAAAAGGGTAGACCACTTCACACCGGAAGTGTAACGTGTTGTCAGGACTTCCTGAGGAGGGCAGTAATACGCCTAGAAGCGTCTAAACTGCCGGAAATCCATGTGAAGAAGAAGAAGAACGTGTTGTCAGAAAACTGGAACGCGTGTGTTTCACTGATATAATAATACAACGTGTCTTGTTTGTAAAGTAATTTCTTGCCGCTGTCTGGCTGCCCAGAAACACTCTGCACCAAGAAGATACAGTTACTCTTTTCTTTCTTTCAAGGTTGTCCTGTAATCTACTAATGTGGTTTAGACTGAGGATGCGTTATGAGATAGCTCATGTTAGCCTAGTCAGCTAACAGCTAAATCAGTAACTTAGCGAGCTGATGTGAGAAAACAGCTATTTGCCCACGTTTGTAGCTAGCTTGCACAGTAACGTTAAGTTGAGGGAAGGTGAAGTGTTGTCATTCGTCCATCCATCATTGAAACCACTTTGGTAGTCAAAGTTTTATAAACGTTGCTGAGCTAACGTTAACTGGCAACTAATGTGTGTGAGCTTAGCTATTGTTTATTTTCAGAAATCAGATCAGCACTTTAACCTCGCTCTCTTCTTGTTTCAGCTGGCGAAGGAACCTGAATCTCACCGTTTATAATGTCTCAGGCCACCAAACGGAAACACGTTGTCCAGGAGGTTCTTGGAGACTTTGTCACACCCACAGAAAACCAGCAGATCGTGAAGGTGACTTAAGTACTTTACAACCACACACATTACAGGTAACAGCAAGACATTTCCTGACTCTGTCTCCATCCTCTTCCTGTGGACTTGTAGGTCATCAGTAGCCGGGGTAATAACCTCCATGAAGCTGTCACTGCCCAGGGGGAGACTTTCCTGGTGAGCATGCCCACCAAGTTCCGCAAAAACATCTGGATCAAGAGAGGTAGGTGATGAAGTCAGCTGCTTATAGATATATGTATTATAGATTATTACAGAGTAGGATTGCATGCTATATGCTGGTATGAATATTTATGGTTATTATATCATGCACATTTGCATATCTACGGTATTGAATTCTACTGTATTAGTTTTATTAAAAAATGTATATTTATATCAAATTTCATGTTTGTCGGGACATGATATTTTCTGAAAGTATAATACTTGTGAAAGTATAAAACTTGAATATATTCTGAGACAGTTGTCTTACTGTGAAAATCTCATACAGTTGCAACAAGATTACAGAGATCTTAACACTATCAGTCAATCATCAAAGGTCTTTGAGGTCTAACAAACCTGTTGACTGCATTTCTCTTACTTGTATAATATCTGTAATGCCGATTTAAAAAAAAAAAAACATTTTGAATCCGGGATTGTTTACGCCTATGCTTGCTTGCAGTCTTCCTCTCTACCTCACCTGGCACACTGCTGCCTGTCCACTATTGGCACCTGTAGATCACTGTGTGACAATATTAGCAGGAATGTGTTCTGCATATGTGTATGTGTGTGGTTGTGTGCGTAAATGAGACAAAACAAAACTCCAATCCGCTCATAGAAAATTGCCCTATAGTGCTACTAGAGGTCAAAAAACCACGGGGAACCTTTTTAAATGTAGCCAAGGATTGAGAATTTCACAGAGAAATGCCGTATAAATGTGAAGTATGAACAAAATGTATTGATTTGTTTTGCACACTTGATGTTAAACCGCATGCAGCTGGAGGATGGGATCTTTCATTTCATATAGGCTCTAAAATGCACAAAAATATCATCAGTCTAATATAGCTCCAAAATGTACAGTGCTCATATGTGTGCAAGAAATTAGGTATTGATATGATACCAATAGAAGGGGCCAATATTGTAAGTGATTACATACTAGTTGGTACTGGCTATTTCTCTGCATTTAAATATGTCTGCTCTCTGATCCCCAAGGTGACTATGTCATTGTGGATCCCATCGAGGAAGGAGAGAAGGTGAAGGCAGAGATCAGCTTCATTCTTTACAAAGATCACATTCAGTACCTGCAAAAACAACAGCACTGGTCAGTGGGAATACAAACACACACACACACACACACACACATCACACAACCAGCATGATTTTGTCAAGTGTAACCAGGTGTATTGTGGTTTTTCCCTTGACTTCCTCCAGGCCAGAAGGGTTTATGGAGGAGCCACTGGAGCAGGAGAACCAGCATGCAAACAATCAGCAGGAAAAGGAAGAGGAGAAGAAAGATGAGGAAGAGGAAGTTAGCGACTCTGAAGATGACGAGAGCGACCTTTTCGTAAACACCAACCGCTGTAACTACCAGTACAGCGAGAGTGAGGACGAGGAGGACAGTGAGGAAGAAGATGATAGCAAAGAGGGAAGGACAGAGAATGGTTCCTAGTGGCAGCGCTGAGGACACGGACAATCGAGAGTGACAGCTGTGTGAGTGCTGCCATTACCGCTGACTGATTTGAAAGGACGGTCCTCGTGCAACAGCTCCCTCGGCAGGTCTTGCAGCCTGTTGTCTGTTGCCTGTGTAAAATGATTGATTGAGGAGTGCAGGGCGTGGTGAGGATTTAAACAACTTTTCAGTTTTGCTGCTCCTCTGAAGGGTATTGTTGTAGTGACCTGAACTGGTACCACCCTTTACAGAGTAGTGCTAACTGTGTTGATTTGATTTCCAAATGAATACTGCTGATAGCCTATGTAATTCAATTGGTCTCAAGCACCAAAAGATGTTTTATTTTTATTTTTTATTAAATGCTCTAGTTTCAACTGACCTTGTATCATGTACTTAATAGTTGGCCACTGTGCTGCTTTGTGCCTCATCTTTTCCTGACATTCCTTGCCCAGTTGCTTTTGTGTTTGTGTAATGATGTGTGTTTAGGAAATAGATGAATTCTTGAGCTATTTTTCCTAACATCATCCTGTCCCCACGTCTTCCACTTCAAAAAGTCAACATTTTGTTTTCGTAAACAGTGTTTGTTTTTTTTCACATTTTTTAAAGAAACAACTCTTCAGGAAAAAGTGCAGAAGTTATACAAGCAGGGATACGAAAATAAATACAAAATTCTCAAAACATGAGCTCACAACATTTCATGTAAAAATGCTGAGCATTGTGTTTTTTTCTTGTGGTAGAACCAGTTCTACAGGGAGTCTCTTAATGCATTTTCCCCCCCAGGTGTGAGGGGAAACTTCATTAGTCAGACAATGTGTGCTTCAGATACCACAGTGCTGAGTGCGTACCTTCACAATGTGAAAATATTTTTGCTGAAAACTTTTTTTTTTATTAAACATTAATAATTCTTACATTTTGCAACAGACTAACAAATATGGCTGCTACCACGGTCTTTAAAAGTGCAAATATTTTTACATTTTTAACAAACAATCAGATGAGCCAAGGGTGTTGGTTTGGATTCAGGGTACAATGAAGTCTTCAAGCAAAGAATAAAGAAACCCCTAAATATTTATTTTCTGCATTCATACATTATTATCATCATTGGTAGAATATTTTGTATTTGCATCTTTACTAAAAAGAAAACGGTCTTGTGGACGCGTGGTAAGCATAAATGGCAAATCACATGAACTGAACATTTTTTTATCCACTCTTCACATGTGGATTCTGGCAGCTTTGGCACACTTCAGAGAGATGATGTCCCTACATACCCAATGGAAATTACGCTCTTGAGAGTTACAATCTTCCTTTCAATAGAACTAATAATTGCATTTAGAGCTTGCAGAGATGTGTTGTAATATTTAAATAGTGTCATCAAAACATTCAGAACAAGGAAATCTAAATATAAAATGGGTGAACATAAAAAAAAAAAGTTTGGTGTTACCAGTTATGTTGGCTCATTGAATTAGTGGATTAGTTTTTTGTTTTAATTTTTTGATGGTGTCAAAAGCACATGCTTTGCAGCTTGAGTTTCCATAATGGACAACTCATTCTGCTTCTCAGTGTTTTTCTGTGTTTACTTGCTTATTAGTTTAGATGCCATGCACAACACAACCACTGAGCCAGAGTTAGCTAATTTATAGCCAGTTTATATCTGTGGTCACTGGGCAGGAAGATATTACTGGGAACCACTGCCCTGTCACAAATGAAGAAAACCAGAAAGTCCACATTTTGTGTATGACTTCAGTTTTGTTGTCATTCCCCTCCCAGAGCTCTGCACTCCAGACACTTGGATTATGACATTTGGTTTTCTGGACTTTGCTTTCATACCGGCACATCACTACATCACTAGCACAAGTGTCTGTAATTGACGCTTACGCAAAGCAGAGTGTAAAAAAGTCTTTTGGACTTTGCTTCAGTTTCTGACAAAGGCTGGTCATTAAGGAGGACTTGGTTTCACAGAAATAAAACAGGACGTGTTGAAAGTTTATTGGGATATGAAAAAAAAATTAACAAATTTACAGGAATGTATAAGAGTGTATTTTACACATTCATCACAGACAGTTTTCTTAAGCAACCTAATTGAGGTGGAACCCAACTTTTCACATCACTGGAAGCTGATTGACATCAGCACAGCACCTAATTCAGGTTATGTAAGTGTACTGATTGGTGACCTTTCCAGTTTCCAGTACTGCAAAACTGGCTCAACCACTGTAAACTCAATCTCATATTAACACCTAAATAACACCTTTGCTTTGATAATACATTTTAAATACTTAAATAGAGGTAATTTGAGGGTAGAACGAACACATTGTTCCTTTAACAAACTAAAAGTTGAATTCATGAGCAACAAGAATTATGCCTCCTCCAACCTGTCAAGTTGCAGTTAACATCCATGTCTGATTATATGTAATATCTATATAATATAGCCTTAATAGAAGTAAAAAAAAACATGTATGTAAAATGTGCAAAAACACTGGTTTAGAAATGATGTGCTTATATGCTGTTGGCATGTTTAATTTAGTATAATTAAATATAACAGCAGAACATGGATAACTGGAATAACTAAAAACAGACGCTAGTTCCCACAGTTTTACCTCTTCATATTTCTGACCAAAGTTCACCAAAATGTTTACTATCAGACTATAGTGGCAACATTCTTCAACTAACTTTGCTAAAAAAAATGGCCAGGGGATAATCCACTTATAGTGTTTGTTTGATTTTGTTCTTGTCAGCAGCTCTCAGGGGCACATCCCAACACTGTGTCTGTGTCTTTTTCATGTCCGTCCAAAGTCTAACAACCTCGGTGGGGCTTCGTTTGTGTACCAATAGGATTGTGTGGTACGCACACAGCTCCTCCCCTTCCTTTTCCGGAAAGTCAAACGTGAGGAAGGCAGGGTGGTGGACAGGATAAGCATTAAGCCGAATCATACACATCCCAACAAAAACGTCGTCAATGGGGAACATGTGAACCCTTTTAGAAATGTAGTGTAGACGTTTGATCAACAGGCCTGAGTACACCACCCCTCCACCCCCTGCATATGGAGGATAGAAGCCCTTGTAGAAGCTGTCTGGGATGAAGTACTTGGAGTTGTTGACTCGGATGGGTATGGCTACATCTATGACATCTCCCACCATGAAGTCTTTTATGGTCTTGTGTGCTTGTGGCTTCTTTAGCTGGTCCTGGAGGTAGTTTATCATTTTCGGGGTGTTGAGAAAGACATCGTCGTCCCCCTTAAAGACGAAGCGAGTTTGACTGCAGAAGTGTGAGAACCAGCTCCAGAACAACACATCTTTCAAGGTGAGGTTGAAAAACGTGTCATTGAAGTCCCACTGCAGAATGTCTTCATAAAGGTTACTCTCGATCTGCAGTAACTGAAGTAAAGCCTCATCCAGCTCCTGAGATTCTTCTTTGCCTAGCAGGAACACCCTGCGGACATAACCTCCTGCTTCTTCTCCTCCATTGCTGTTGCTCATCTTTCCTGCTACCCATCCCGCCTGACCCCAGGTCTGCCGAATGGCCTGTCGGTTCTGGAAATTCAGCTTTGTTGTCTTGATGGCCAGGAGAAGCATAACGGGCTCCTTCTCATCCTTTGCCCCAGCTCCACATACTCCATCTGGCTGGATGAGGGTTGGGTAGTCCCTCCTTTGCATGTGCCTCACAAAGTCTTGCATCTCCTGTGGTAGCTCGTCAAAGTTTCTCTTTGTGCTGTCCAGGTTGGTAACTTCTGAGTAACTTTGCCTCAATGGGGATTCATGAATGTTACTATTTTCAGATCTCCTTTTGGTGTTGTTTTGGTGTAGGATGGGGTTGAAATGACGGTCGATGGCCAGCTGGAGCTGGTTCCAGAAGGCATCTCTGTCCGGGGTGACCTCCCAGAAAGCTTTAGGGTGTGATGCAAAGCTCTTGTTCTTGCAGGTTCCTGAGGCCACAAAGTGAAGAGTTTCCAAGCTTTTCTGTGCCCCGCCATTCATGGACATACACACCATGACAGAAATGTAGATGAACAGCAGGGCCAGGCAGATGCACGGCGTGCATAGACAGAATAGCACGTTACACCAGCGACAGAAGCACCGCGCCATTCAACTGCTAATGCAAAAACAGTATGTGAGTTTGGACAAATCTAAAGTGTGTAAAAAGAGATACTGAGTTTTTGAACATCAAAAATATATTGAATGTTATGTTATGTTTGTCACATGGGGAGAGTTGTAACATCACCAGTCCCACTTTTTAGAGATAGGAGTGATGTGATCATTTCAGTACTTCCTCCCTGATCACACATGGTGGTCAAGGCACATTCAGAATTTATAGGAAAAAATTATTTTGAGGTAAGTACATTTTTGTTTAGTATCTATACTATTGCAGATAAAATCACATGTCTTATATTAGGTTAAAATGTAATTTCTTAGGCAACATGTGATGCATTTTCACCCTGATAATTTCAAACCAGCTAGCTAAACAATGGCTGATGTGGGTGGGGTGGGTTGTAAAACATATTTACAAAGTGTTACAACCATCACCTATACATACTACTATGGCTTTCTTGATTCTAAAATTGTATTTTAATATTGACTGCCCTATGCAACCCCCCCAGTAGTGGGGTAGTTTGAAACAAAGGAACACCATGTATTTAACATCAACTCATGGGGTCTGTGATATTCTTGTATTCTTGTAGAGGATTGAATTGGTGTCATTTGTAGTAAACAAATTTGGGTACTTTGTATAAAAGTTTCAGAACTCAAGCAAAAAAATTCTGCCAGTTATAGTTGCTGAAGCAAAAAGTGTTACAACCACTCCCGGTCTCCCCTACCATGAAAGCCCAGACTGAGCGTGTACTCAGACAGGGAGGCTAAGTTCTAGAGTAAAACAAAGTCGGGAGTCATGAGGGAAAAGCAATGACAGAGAATAAGGCAATTTTTAAAGGCTGACAAAACAATCTCACCAGAAGGTCCAGTATCTGTTCTGGAGTTTTCAATTGCATCACATGATCTTCATCAGCAGGTGGTGTTTGCCCAGTTGGTATGCAATCGCAAATGTTCAAATGTTCAAATTTCCAGATTTCCAAATTTCTCAGATCATGTGCTTCTACAATTCCATGACAACTGGGCCAGCGGCTTGGCAAGAATGTGTGATATGATTAAAAGCTCCAGATCAGCTACTAAATGTTTCTTGTGGTAAAATTGTTTTGTCAAATACTGAGGTCAAGAATGAACTTTCAGGCTTGACTATTTAAAATGATGAAAGGAGAGTTTCTGAGAGCCAATTATTCACACTTTAAAATGAGTAAACATAGTTACATCAGCAGATGAATACATAAAATGACCACAGTCCACAACATGTGCATGTTAATAATAATAATTATACTGTATGAAATTTATAATTACCGTTATTGCATTTTATTTACAGACAAAGTGAGATCATCTTGGAGTGTTGAAATATAAAAAGTCAGCAGTTTTCTGTGCTTACCCGGTCAAAGTGAAGGCTCCTTAATGCACTAAAAAATCATCATTTTGGTTTTGATAAGCAAAGCTGGTGGTTCATGCTAGTAATCTGAGCTATCAGCTAATTTCTCGGTAAAACATTTAATTCAAAATTCCCTCATTGACAAGAACCAAAGATGTAATCCAAATCAGTCTCGTGGTCCTTCAAGATGGGCTTCCTTTTCTAGAATAATCAGGCTGCTGTAGTCCCCTGAGATTTGTGTGAGCAACATCCGATATTAGAGGACACAGGTGTGCACACAGGGGATCCACCGACTGACAGAAAGAGAGCAAACAGGAACGACATGTTATTAGTGTGGTCACGCCCATGGGTGACCACCCGCCCATGCACGGATGGGAGGGTGGACGGGGGTTTTGGAGATGTAAATATAAAACAAAGACACCTTTAGTTTTTGTTACTGACTCTTGATGTCACCATTCCAGCAGCTTTTCTATGTGTTGACTTGTTGCAAACACTTGTTACTCTATAATGTCTTACATCTTGACTACAGTAGCTGAGTGAAACGTGTGCAGAACAAGTCTAGTGACTGATTAAAACCTCCATCTGACTGACGACAGGTGACAGCTATTTTCTACGAAGTGACATCACTTCTCAGCCTCATCAACCCAAAGCTAATCAATAATCCGGAAAAACAGGACATGCTTGAAATGCCTGGAATCCTGAAACTTCCATGTTGCAATACTTGGCAATCAAGTCCCAGATGTAACAGCCGTGGTGATAGCTAAATATTTCACTTATTTCATAAATTATGAACGGTGGTGTTGTTAAATCAACATTTAAATACCTGTTTATTGGTTTATTTAGCTATGGAAAAAGTTATATTACCATAGAGAAAGGCTTAATGTCAAGCCATGGTCATAGACGCCTAGAAAGAGAAAAAATAAAACACAAATATACAAAATAATCTTAACTCAAGGTCAACTTTCTTCCAGTTAAAAGCAGTTGATGCAGTTCAAAGTTTCAAACTGATTAACTTGGTGTAGGTCTCCAGAAAAGAACTAGTAAGAGTGGAGATAATCGTTGGCTGAGGGGGAGCTCGTTTTGAACTATTTTGTATCGGACAGTAACTAATAATCATTAATTACTGTCTGATACAAAATAGTTTCATAATGGATTAATGCTAATTATTTTCTCCACTAATCAGTCATTAGGGTTGTAAAAATTCTGAAAATAGTGAGAAATGCCGTCACAATTACGTAGAGTCCAAAGTGACACCTCCACAATGCTTGTTTTGTCCAAACAGGCCAAACCTCAATTTTATTAACAAGACATTAAAATAATTAAAAAGCAGCAATCGTCACATTTGGGTGGCAGCAAAATTCCCCAAAATAGGCCTACATTTTAAATACATGTTTGTATTGTATGTTTGTGTGATGAGGGAGGATGTTGGACAGACCTGTTAAAGATACAGAGTGGTAAAGAAGATGGCTGAGTCCCCGGCTGATTTCATCAAATTTGTCATGGGCTGGTATGTGAGAGTAGCTTCAAACATGGAAGCAAGGAGGAAGAGCACAGGTGTTGCTAATACTGCTAATTAACAATTGTGCTGTGATATTGAAGTGCACCAGTAAGCCATGACAGTGAAGCATCATACACAGTAACAGGGCATTGGAAGAAGCAAAACTAAATGGAATGCAGCCATAATAAAATAGTTTTACTAATTATACCAGTGGTTTACCGGGTATATGTCATGTCAAAGTGTCTGCTGTGGAAAAAAAAGCCCATTTGAATGAAATTATGATACTCTAGGAAAAGTCATTATTTAACACTTTGTGACACGTATAATCTGACAACCTTCTTTCTCTAAAAACATTTAGGAGAAACTTGAAATATTGCAAATAATCTTCTATGTATAAAATTACATATAGACCTTCATTCAGTGCACGGCACGTCCAGTTGTAGACAAGGTCAACGCTGCCATATAATGTTCCTTTGTTTTCAACTCCATTCTTACTTTGGATTTGGTGCACATTTGACTAATGCCACTTATTTATATAAATAAAGAAGGAATAAGAGATTCCAAACATCTGTAAATTAAAAATAACAAACCACAGTTGTTTTTGTCACAAAGATGACAGGACTGTTTCAAAATGGTAGGAATAAAGTTTTATTTTTCATATGAAGGGGTGGTTTTGGATTTTTTTCTTCTTTTACAAGTAGTATGTTTTTGATAAAACTTGCAAAAAATCTTCTAGCATATTCCAAGACTGATGGACATGAAGAGAAGGGGATTTATTGCTGAATGTTAAAATGAAGACACATTTTTTATTTTTTCACAGAGTGGAAAAACGATTTGCTTGCTGCTTTTTCCATGCACCCAACTACCAGTACCACTAGGACATGCAGAGGGGTTGGGGGTGAGAGGAGAGGAGGGGAGAGGAGAAAAAAGGGTGAGGAGGAAGGGAAGGGGAGGGGAGGTAGAGAGGAAGGAGGGGAGAGGGAGTCGGTAGGTAAAAAAGACAAAGGCAAACTGCTTGACAAACACAAACATGGAAGGGCTTTGTGTGTGTGCGTGTGTGGTGTGTGTCTCTGTGTGTGTGTGTGTGGAGTGTACGATGTGTGAAATTTATGTGTGTGTATGTAAAGGGAAAGGGGGGAGTGCAGGGTGAGGAGAAGGAGGGTGGGGGGTGTTAACAATTCAACTAGCTCTAGAAGCACACTACCCTCACTTGCAGTATTTCCACATTGCAAATCCCAGATTGATTACAGTGATAGTTAAGACAAAACTAGCCAGACCTTTGGGCCATGAACCCAAAAAATGTTTTTTATAAATTTCCAGCAAGATCCCCTGAATCTGAGGGGTCATTGCCATTTTTAAGATACTTTCTTTATCTGTGATCCATGCATCTCCTGTGAAAAACAAAAACAGAAAACAAACAAACTTAAATTAATTAATTCTAATAGCGACACATATTGTATCTGACACAATATCATTTTCCTCAGTGAGCTTTAAAGGGTCTCTAAACCCGATGTATACCGGAAGTGGAAGAGTTTCTGGCGAGATCAGCCCAATGTTAGTGTGCTGTTCAGTATACTCCTCTGGTGATGGGGCCTGAATTCATCTGCTAGTTGCTTCTGAAGGTCGGTAACGGGGTGAGAAAGACATGAAGGTGAGGGGCAATGTGGGTCGGAGTGGGCAGGCGGACACAGACACATAACAGATCATTCAGTCAATATGACCAAGCAAAAGAAGTTCAATCAACAAAGGTACAGGAATGCAAATCAAGGATGCAGTAATCAGTATTATTATATACCACCATTTGGCTGTGAGCTAAAGAAAAAGTAGAATCAGACTCAGAAACTTGCTCTCTAGCATTGTGAACCTGTACGCAGTGAACCGCATGGGATTTTTCCCATCAGAGCAGTGCCATCACTACAGGGGTGAAAAGTGGCGGCGTTTCCAAGAGGCCCACAGCTGGAGGGGGCCCGTAAAAGTTTCCAGTAGGATTATATTAGTAAAAAAAGTGAAAAAAAGACAAAGGGGGTAAAAGAAAAAGGGGGAACCCAGAGCGATATCCTCCTCTTAAGGGGCCCAGAATTCCTCGCTACACCCCACACAAAATAGTGAACAGATGTGGTCTCCGCACAACATGATTTTTCATCGAAAACATCTTTGTGACCCACACACAGCAACACACATGCCCACTTCCACACATACACACAGCCTTTTGAAGTAAAAAAAAAAAAAGCAGCTGAATCTCCCCTCTGATTCCAAAACTTTTTACCCACGCTCCCTTAATCATGGCCACAAGTGAACGCAACAAACCTGACGAACGGACAGGAAGGAGAGTGAAGGGATGTGGATCTGGCCTGCGGACTGAACTGTGGCTGAGATGACGTGCGCTCTCTGCTTTGAGTCTTTTGGCTGTGATGTGATGGGGAAGTCCTGAGACACAGTGCGGCTCTAAGCTGCTGGCATAGGAAACGGGCGGGCTGGGCAGTCCACGGGAGGCCAGAGTCAGGCTGGATTACAACTGGAGTGGTTAGGTTCGGTTTGGATCGGCAGCTCCCTGGCCAATGACTGCTCATGGAGGGAGGTTCTTACAGTGCAATGGAGCTTCTGGCAGCGTGAGGATTGGTGGGAGGAGCATGTCAGTCACACAAGAGACCACACCCTCCAAGGTGAATGGAGGCTAAAACCAAATGAGGCTTCATGAGGTATACATACAGGCATGCACGCACACACGCACGCACGCACAAACACACACACACACACACACACACACACACGTTTGTTCCACTATCTCCGTGAGGACAACTCATTGACATGCTGCATTCCCTAGCCCCTTACCCTAACCTTAACCAGCACAACCACATGCTCCACCTTAACCCTACCCCTAACCTGGTTGGAACCTGAACCCTAAAACCAAGTCAACCCTCAAAAAGCAGTATCAAGCTCAAGTTTTGACCCCACGGTGACACAAGTCCTCATAGGGTTTGTGCAGTGTGCATTCAGGTTAAAGTCCCCAACGGGACATACGAACGTGAAACAAACACACACACACTGCAACCACCACCAATGTCATGGCAGCACCCTGAACACCTACACAGGAATCTGAACACTCTTGTTTTCACAGAAATAACAACAAATGACGGAGAGGCAGCGAACGAGGACACAAATGGCCGATGTGATTCATCCAAAAATCATCCAAGAAAAACTACCCTACACATCCGGTTGCGTCAGTGACTAATGTCCCTGTGAATCGAACGCATTTTGCGTGTATCATACTCATGTAAACAGACACCTTTTACACAGGAGGAATCAATATTGCATGATGACATAATCAGATCACAGTTCAAAAAGAGGAAGATCCCAAATCAGAGATAGAACGAAAGCAAAAGGAAGGAAGAGGGTTGGTCTCTATAAAAACGAGGAGTCTTTATAAGAAAGGCTACAAAAACTCAATGGGACCTCCGACTTCAGCATACAGCAAAAGGCACCACAATATTATTCTATTTATCTAACTTGTGAAAAAATTGGCACGTAATTCTCTTATTTTTTCATCTCTCATAATGCTGTAAATCAAAAAACTTTACATATAAATATTCCCCCCCGTTATAAAAAAAGTCTTTGCTGTTAGCTAGTAGACAATTTTTGCTGAAATGAAAATAAATATTTCATTTGTTTAGAATATCTGTCTGTTATACAAAATAAAAATATTTCTCCTAGGTGCAGGTCTCTAGTCCACTGGTTGTGTGTAGGAGGAAGGGGAGTGTGTGAAGTGGAGGGGGTGGGTGGCGGGGGGGAGGGGAGGGGGGGAGGTGGGGGAGGGGGGAGGGGGGTTAAGTCTTAAAGGGGCATGTTGTCAGCCTTGGAGCGATGCGACTGGGAGCCGCGGCTCTGCCCGTTGCTGCGCGTCCCCGGCCGACTCAGCCCACGGGGAGTCCGTGTGTCCGCACCAGATGACGAACGGAAACCCGGAACGGTTAAGGGCGGGTCCATGTTCATGTTCTGCATACTAAGGAAAGGTGTGCTCTCCCCGTGAGCATCCTCTTCCTCCTCCTCTTCCTCCTCCTCCTCTGACTCGCTGAAGCTCTGTGAGCTGTAGTCCCGTAGGCCCGCTGAACGCTGGGAGATGTGTCCGTTGAGGCGGTTGCGACGCGGGCGTCGCCGGCTCCGGATGGGTTCCCTTGAAGAGGCGTACTCCTGCGTGGTCTCGTAGGCCTCGTCGTCAGGGAGACGGTAGGGGCTTGATGGTAGACTTCCTGTGCTCTCCGTCAGGTAAGGTCGCCGTGGACGCCGGGGCTGCCTGTATAAACTTCCGTCCTAGAACGAAAGCAGAGTAGAGAATTTAATAGAAACTGTATAGCCTACTCTAAATGTAAAGTATGTTTGTCAGTGGTTTGCTCAAAGCATTGATGGTGGATGCCAACACAAGGACCTGAATCATCAGGTTAAAGGATGAGTCTCGTTATATGTTAGCTTATATGTTTCTTATTAAGAACAAATCCCAAGAAAAAAGCAAAACCAACAATTAATTCAACCTACTAACAAGTATTGTTGATCTATAAACTGATTGTTGTTCTATTATATATGTGATCCCGAATATATAATACATACATAAATACTCACTAGCGCACCAAATGTGTAGTTATCCACAGCTGAAAATAGTCCCCAAATAAGGCACTATTAACTGCCGTCTGAATTTTTTTGATTTATTAATAAGTGATTTCATTGAAAAATGACATATAACCCCTTTAAGTAATCATTACCTACATACATATAGTATCTCCCTCCCTATAGTATCTCCCTACTATGTCTTCATAGACATAGTATCTCCCAGTTCTCAAGTCATTTACCATTATCTACTATATAGTTCTCCATTTGGAGTTATTCACAAATTACTTACATACAATTCATTGATTTTCACTCAGTCCTTACTATATAAATAAAAAAATAAATAAAAAATAATAAACATAACTGAACTGAATATATTAAATGTAAAGATTTACATCTCCAGTATGAAAAAATGGGCTTGGGCCTGAGTGCCGTAGACAGGTTGAGAAGTCACAACAGAGATGTATTTTGGTCTTTTGTTGACAATGAAAAAATATAGGACATCAACAGCCACTTCCATTAACTGACATTCATGTTGTCACGAACACTGTGCTGCTCCAGTCATTGACATGTGTGTACTATATTTGCCTACGTACATCGGGGCATCGTAGCAGCGGCTGATCATCTTCTCTGTGGTAGGCAGCAGCAGCAGGAGGAAGGGAGAGGGCGTGGCTTGTGTTGGGTGAGGTGATCTGGAAAGTGGGCACCTGGGGCGGCAATGGTGGGTAGTGGAACTCCACTGGAGATAGGCGCGCTGGCGTGGTCAGTGCCGACACATACCTGGACAGGAAAGATGACAGCAAATTATTGCAGTGTCTGAATCACACCTCGACCACGTACATGCAAATGTGCTGACGTAACAGTCCACCCAAACTAGCACATGGCTACAACTGTAATGAACAATAATGTCTGGGTAACTAAATACACTAACTTTAAAACTGTACACAAAGCTGTAAGTGGCAACAAGTTGTTGGAAACACATAAACTTAATATATTCATGTTTAGCATTATGTTAGTCTTTGATGCTTTCTGCCAAAACGTACCAAGAAGAATTGACTGTTTAACTGCATTTCTGCTTTGCATGTGTTTTTTTGATTTGGCACTAAGGTACAAGTAGTTTGATTACGAGTGACCTTACAGTACACATCACCAGAAAGGTCATGAAACAAATCAGTGGGGTACAAAAGTAGGCGATGAGATAAACTTCTTTGACACACTGATAGCTTGTCAGTCCCAAACATCTGTTTTCTAAAACACTCAGGGCCGGGAGGCTGGGGCACACCCAGCATGCACTGGACAAGAAGGGGGACACCCCCTGGTCCATCACATGGCTAACAACCACCATCACACTTGCAGGCGATTTAGTGTTTCCTGTCCACCTGACCTGCAAGTGTTTGGACTGTGGGAGGAAAATCCACGCAAAAACACTGCAGCCAGCTGGCTGAAGTTCGTATGCAGGACCTTTTCGCCCATGAAACGACAGTGTTAACTGATGAGCCACCCACTCAGTCAGTCCCAAGAATTTGAAAAATATTACTGAACATGTGTCATCACAGCTGCAAGTAGCGTAAGACTGCTGCACCTTATTAAGTTTAACTCTGTTGTTAATGCACAGTTTTGCCACAGCAGAGATGCCAACTTCTGAAACAAAGAGTGAGTCAATTCAGCAGGAAAATGATTTATGCTTATTGGGAACTACATATTTGTTGCATTAAAATGTACTGAAACTCTAAGGTTGTTTGAAATGGCATATGAAGCACAACAGGGAGACACAAAGCAGATCACCACTTGTTTTATGTTGTACAGACAAGTTGCTTTACAAAAAAAAAGGTCTAAAATCGTTCCTCCAAACTTCCAAACTCCAAGCTTCCTTTAGAAGTTATTCAGTGTGAAAACATTGACAGAATATCCATGTTTTATAGCAAGTAACTGTACTATTGTGTTGCAGACAGGTGATACAAACATAGCTAAGCTCAGGAATGTCAAGTCTGTTTATTAGTCGGAGGGCAATCTGGGACATGGAGGAAACCACTAACTAACGATAAAAATAGGTTGAGTTAACACCAAAGTTATTTAAAATGTAGTTAAATAACTGACCTTCACAGAATGACTCAACTAAGTGAGAGCTTCTTTTCACTTTTTGACAAAAAGTTCACAAATGATGTTTGTTTTTTTGTTTTGTTTCATTACCTTCACTACCACTACATGTGAAGATCTCATTTAGATCCCAGGACAGTACTGGTTTATGAAGCCACATTACAACATACAGTATCTGGGTGACCGACATGTTGAAAGATTCCTAACAATTAACTCCCACTTGGGGTCGCCAAAGAGTAAAGGGGCTGGTTTGACAAAAAAACTAAACAAAGCAAAAGTGTTGTAGAATGAACAAAGACAGAGTTAACCCCCCCCCCCACACACACACACACACATTACCACCCTCCCTACCTGTCACTGTGAGGCGAGTCTCTTAGAGAGTCATAGGAATCCCCGTACTGCATACCCGGTCCTGACACGTCTGTACAGCCCCAGTGGGCGGCCCTCCTCGCCATGCATGCCGGGCTGCTGCACTTGCTGGTTCCCACAGAGCTGGACAGCCCACCTGACTGGCAGTCTGAGTTCATACTCTCTGTTCGTTCCATGCTCCACGTCTGCTCCTCGTGTCTGCAGGTGTGGGTGTTAGCAGAACAAGTTAGAAAAGGTTACAGCACTGAGGAGGCAGGAGGATGCAGAGGAAGAAGGAATGCTAGTTAAAGAGACTATTCTTCAAAAATGTTCACATGCATGGTATATTAAAACATCATCAAGTGATATTTTTGATATAAAACACTGAATCAAATCACTCTGGGTAAGGTAGCAGAGCTGGTAGTACTGCAGATTGCTATGACAATCAATAGCCAACTGTGCAACTCTACACAGACTGTACACGCCCTGTTCAGCATGACATAGAGACATGACAAGGTAAAAAAAAAGTGGCTGGTGAAGCAAGTGGAACATCATCAAGCCAAAGACCACATATTTTTCAAAGGTGTAGGTTTTAGTGATGGGAAAAGTCACTCTTTTGACAGACTCGAGTCATCAAATCTTGTTCATTAAAATTAACTAATCTCTTTTTTTTGTCATTTCGTTCATTTGAACTAGGCTGGTTACTGCAGCGCTGCAGCCCTCTAGTGGGCGATTAAAAAACAGCGCAGTTCTCAAACACAGAAGGCTGCCTGGCTTACTTTAATTGACAAAGTATAATGCACACATTCACCTCTTGATCTTTCTCTATCATCATTCTATAAAGCCCCATGGAGCCACAACCAAATTCAAACCAAGTAAAAACCACATAAATATGTTATCAATATTCAATCGCCACTACTCTGGCTAAATCCGTCCATTTTCACAATGTTTCCTGAGTATACTACCAGACCAGTGATATGAATATAACTGCAATTACTATCATTATATCTCTAAAGTGCTCATTCATATAGCAGAAGTAATAACACACTAGATGAATAAAACACACTGTTATTAAAATTCAACCAATTTAACCCCAACTTAACGCCTGAATTTTTTTACAATCAAAAAATTAAAAAAAATATTTGTGTTTTCATTTGCTTTCAAGCTGATATTAAGTGAAGATTGTTAATTTGTCTTTAAAACATAGAAAAGATAAATTCAGGTATGTGTAGGTATGATGCAAATTAGCGATAACAGGCATAAACGAGAAACCAGGGCTTGCAAATGGTTCCTAGGTACGTATCGAATATGCACCAACAGGCATTGGGGGAATCCATGTGCTATCTTGGCTTGCAGTCTGCAAGGAAGAGGTATGATGCGAATTCGCGACAATCGGCGTCAAGGGGTTAATAATAATCTGGATAAAGCCACCAAGTTCTTATAAGAACTCCAGCACAGAGAGAGGAACAAATAAATATTAACACATAATATAAAGGCAGCAGTTGGACGCATAATGGGCCACATCAGGTCCGGATTCTGCTGACAGAGAGAAACAAACATGAACACATCGCTCAAGATGTTGTTTCACCAGTCAAGAGCTGTGAAACAACAGCACGGCTCTGTTGATAAATAAAAAGGAAAAGTTATGTTGTGTTCTCTGGCGGACTCGGATCAGCTGTTAGCTGTAAACACACCACAGGGCTAACGCTAACGTTGCTATGTGGCTGTGTTTTAATGTTTTAATGACCGGGTCTGTTTGTTTTGGAGAGGAGATGACCTCGGAGGTAATTCGGCTCCCGGTAGAACCCTGTCAGGGCGCTGAAGTGGAGCGGACCCAGAACAACTCTCATCAGCTGTTAGCTGCAAACGCTAGCAAAATTAAGGTATGGCTCTGTTAAAACTATAGCACAACATCACTGCACTGTAATCAGTCTAGTGACTGTTACCTGACAACCGACTTTCCTCTCATTCTCCGGCGCTGGCAGTAACTCAGCCTGCTGAATGAACAAAAGACTGTGATGTGAGTGGTGAACAATTAGTTCATTCCTGCTGCACAGTAGCCGAACTGTCACGTGACAAATGAACGACTCAAACCCAGAGACCCACAGCTGAGAGTCGTAAACTAATCAATTCTGTTTCCTGTGCTGACGGAGCCCATGCAGCTGCCGTGTGACGAGTGAACTTAAGAGTCCAAGACTATTCACGCATGCGTGAAAATGAACGAATTACTCCCTCAGACTAATCGTTCCTCCTGAGTCATATACAAGATTAGGTCAAATGAACGAAACATTCTTCAAACAACACTTATAGGTTTCCAGTGCGAGTCTCAAGCTGTCTAGGTTTTGAGATAGTTGTCTCTAAGGTTTCTATTGCCACCCCAATAAAAATTTTATAAGAATTTTATTTTTGGTACAAAGGCATTTAAAAATGACATTAAAAAAACGTTGTCATGAAGGGAGAAGTGACCCCACCCAGATCCAAACCTGGGTCTACAGGGTAGACAATTGGTACCCTGTAGACCTGGATTTGAATCCGGGTGGGGTGTCTGTTCTCTCCCTTCGCTACAAACTTAAACAGGAATATTTCTTTCCAGAAACAGTTTTTCCGTTCCTCTGGATAATCCGCAGACCTTCCTGCCAACAGTTCTCATTGGAGCTACTTCCTACAAAAGAAACAAGTCCCTATGAAAACTGTTGGGTTCTTATTGAAAGACAAATTAAGAATAGAGAACATACTATGTTGGCCTATGTATACGTGCTCATCTGCATCTGCATGTGCATGTGCATGTCTACCTAGAAGCATGTGAGGCAGTGGTAGAGTGGTGGGAGCGGGTTGACATTCGGCTGCCTGCGTAGTTGCCTGCACCCTCAGCTCCGTGGCTGATAACACACTCTGTCGTTGGGACGCTCTTGGAGATGTACTGCAATACACACACACATACATAAACACATAATAACGCTATGTTTTAATTTTTAAAATACCAATTTCATTTAGTAAATATAGATAAATTATACATACAAAGAGATTTCTAATGATGAGAGTATTCCTCTGTACAGATCTGTTTTAACTCCTCATCACTTCACTATTTTCATTGCTGCCATTATGCTGACTCATCCCCATTACTTCTCAGAGAGAACGGTTGGCGTTTTCTGCCCTCTCTTTAACATCTGTCAGCTATGTGCCACTGTATTTTTCCATGTTGTCGGGGGATCAGAGTTTTATTTGCATGAGGACTCAAAAATCGCTCTGAAGCCTAAAATAGCTGGCAGAGTTCTGAGTGCCAAAGCTAAATAAAGTCTTTGAGTAACTCCACCTATGAAGACATGAACCAGCGGTGGCTCTGCGGACCTCTTCTCTCCCTACTTTGGCATTAATGAATATATGAGGGTATTCTGAACATTTTGACACCAAAATCCTATTTATAGGAAAGTAATATTTAATTAAAGGCACTGATTTATCTGGTTTTATTTCAGCAAATCCTGTGCACTGATGGGAAGGCGAAGTCAGCCTGGAGATGACAAAGTGTGGCGTCTCTGCCATTGTTGTACTGTATAATTGTTATTGTTAGGTACCAGAAGCTAAAACAAAACCACAGCACACCGCACCCACTTTGGAGCCAACTGCATGTTTAACCAGCGTCTTAAATAAAAAAAGCAATTATTATGAAACCTATCCCTCTTGCCATAAACTGACTAACTTTTCCTCGTTTTGACATTAAATCGGGCAGTTACTTTTGTTTCATTTTTAAACTATGGTTCCTTATTTATTTTTGCCTTGAGAGCAGCTCTGCCTCTGAAAACCTTATATCTGGAATGACCTATTGTGTGTTTCCTCTCAGCATGAAGTGCAGGGTTGTCAGGAGGTGACTTTACTTCCAGTCTGTCAGTTAAATCTGGCCTCAGGATCACCTGTACATGCCTCTGCTGTGTGTTTCCACTGTTTGGACTCACGTCAACCATGGGGATCTCCTCGGGACCAGGCCCGGGGTGGTTGGGTCCGTTGGCCAGCATTCGGTTGGGTTGCTCCACACACTGATTCTGGTTCTGGTGTAGGTGACTGTGCATCTTCTTTCTCTGCTTCCTGGAGGGGCGGCGATGAAGGAACAATAAGTGGTCTGGCAAAGTGCTGAACTAGAGACAGTGACTGATATCATTTGCACCATAATTCACTATAATTGCTCTTTAAAAATTTCTTCCATTGCTGTCTTTAGCTTTCATTACTTCTTCTGCTAGAACTTCACTCATCACACGATCGTTTTATGATCACAGCACTGCAGCACCCTCTCTCTATTGCACACCTTTTGGCCACTTATTGGGATGAAAGTATTCACTGTAAAATGCTCAGGAATGGAGGTCCAGCAAAATTAAACAATATAAAAATATGTTGTGAAGAGCAGTTGGGATTTATTAATAACTGAAGGCTCTTGACCAACTTCTTGTGATTGTGTATTATTCTATATTTGTTTAAGACTGGACCCTTCTCTCTTTTTTTGATCATGCTGCCAACATGACAAAGCAACTAAGGATTTATCTTTTACCTGGTCAGATGTAGTGTAGTGAATTATTTACTACAGCAGTGGTGGAAAGTAACTTCATACATTTACACCAGTACAGTCCAGTACAGTCCAGTACAGTTTTGAGGTACTTGTACTTTGAGTGATTCCATTGTATGATACTTTTTTCTCCATTACATTTATTTGATAGCAGATCGTTTCCAAACCTTTCTGCTTGTGACCCTTTACCAAAAAGCAAAGACTAGTTAAGGGGACTCTTGACAGACCGCTATGACCTGCAAGGCGAGGGTTATGTGACTGATTGCCAACTCATCAATTATTATTATTATTATTATAGTTCTTTTTCATTAAAGGGGCATTATGTAGTTTTCAGCTCGCTTGAACTCATGAGGGAGCATAATCCGAAACACAACCACTTTCATACAGAAATACCACAATAAACGCAGAAACACCTGCATGCAGGCTGTGGCTTTTCAGGCTCTGTTACTTCAACCCCGTCTCAGAGGCAGATCAACACCGGTCCGGCGCCATACATTTCATTCAGCACAGCCAGCCACATATTTGCTCAATACTCCCGAAAAAAGGCAGCGGCTATAGACAGACAGGGAGAACAGACAGAGCTGGAAACTAGTGATGTGCGATACCACTTAATTCCAATACCAAGTAATACCCAGGCTGGTTTTGTCGATACCGATACCAATACTTTTTACATGTTTTATTTCTAGTTTAATGTGACCTCCCCTCTCCCGTTTCTATATTTAGGAGAGAAATAACTAGTAGGCAAAATAATAGCTGCATAATGACAAGACATCAAACTACTGTCATATTCTTTAATAATAAAAATATCCTGCTCAGAACTGCCGCTTCATAACATCATCCTATTGTTGTGACAGACTTAATCTCAGATGTTTAGCGAAGTTTGCAGTGTTGCCAAAGTATTACACTGTCTTTGCACAAAGAGCAACATTATTACCTTCACAGTAATGTAAAGGGCTGCAGCGGCTCACTTCAAAGAAGATCCGTCACAGAGCCTTAGCGCAAGCATGACTTTGACAGGCGGAAGGAAAAGTAGTTCCTATCAACCGTGTGTAATTACAACATCACACACTCACTCCAAATGACTGAGTTTAGATATCGATTCTTTTATGTGAGCATCGATCCTAGAGCAGGAAACGTTGGTATCAGAAATATCGATACTTTAGGATCGATCCGCACATCACTACTGGAAACTCAGGGAAACTCCCACTGCAACGTTACAGTAATAGTTTTATCAACCGCAGGTTTAACTAATTCATGCTCGTTACATGATAACGTTACATTTACTGCATTTAGCCGACGTGCTACATCGTTAGCTCCCCTGCTACTTTTCAGTAATCATCTTTACTATCTGTGAATCTGTCACCGGATGCTTACATACATGTTTTGGATGATAATGAAACGGACTGTGTCTTTATACCAGTTAACGTTAGACCGCAGTAAGTAACTTTACTGTAAAGAATGATAGTGGATGGCTCTTCCTCCGGGTTGTTGTGACCGTTTTGTTGCAGTGTTTTATATTATGTGGGTCACGTTAATTACAGCGACGGAGAGGTGGAGAAGCTATGTATCTGAGTATTGGTAAAAACACAATAAACAAACCGAACGTTAGGAAGCAAACAGCGACAGGTCGGAGCTAACGTTACTGTAGCGTTAGCTGGCTGCTCCTGACTGCATCACTATAGGCTAACGTAAGTAAAGAAATCGTTCCGCATTTGCTTTTTGCCTTTACATCCTTTCTTGCAGGCTAAATCAACAGTGGTACAGGGGATAGTAACATGCGTCGCATTAGTTGGTGAAGTAATGTGGAAAGTGATATAACTTTGAACCGGAAAACATTAGCAACTGCTCGGCGTTAGCCGGGGAGCTAACGTGACTTTCTCTGTGTTTCTCCAGCTTTGCTAATGATCACTTTGTTCTTACTCGACATCATCTGAACCTGTTTGGTCTGATGGGCTTCAGCACATAAACCGTTTATTGTTGTTTTGTATCCTTTCGTGGAGCCTGTGTTTTGCTGTGAGCTGGTTGTTTTATGGTGTTAGTGGACTACATGTCATTAGCTGCCTTGTTGTCGCTGTAGTCTGAGATAATCTGCGCTGAATCTGACCCGGAGACCTCACATTAAAATCAGAATAGTGGCTGATGCAAGTAACGGAGAAAACAGGCGTGTACTTCATTTCTAAGTGAGTTTTGAGCCCGTTGACAATAAGGCAATGAAAATTTGATTTATTTCATTGAAAAACTTGCATATAGTCCCTTTAAGTGTTTTGTTGTATGCTTCTTCGCACAGTACACTGCAGAAAAGCTAGCAAAGCCTTCTGTAGTCTCCATCAGTCTCGTGAACCTCGCCTTGCAGGTCGTAGCCATTGAGTCTCATGTGACTAGTTGGGGCTCCTTGTCACGTTTCAGGTGTCTATAATGTGTAAGCAGTTCTACTAAAGAGACGTTCCCCTCTACATTTTACAGATCCAGTATTTTAAAGCAATGATTATATAAAAATAACAAAAATAAAGACACCATATGAGCCGTTTCCTCTTTCATTAATCATCTATTTGTCTTGTGACCCCTTGGAGGGGCCCGAGCCCTAGGTCGGGAACCACTGCACTAACTAACTGTACATAAAGTAGTTAAAACTAGCCCCAACTCGACCAACTACAAGAATAAAATGCTGCTTACTCAGTGATGCATCAGCTGCCGTCTAATAATGTCATATATATCTGTAATAATATGTCCGCCACAGAGGACATTTGCAGTAGGTGAATTTAAAGGTTTGGAGTCTTTCATGAATGGGGAGTCATTTATCGTTTCTTCAAAGACACATACTTGGTTTTGCAGTAGGCAACCACACAAACGATGCCAACCACCAACAACGCCACACAGATGCCTGTGATCGTCAGCACCCGCCTCTGGTAGAGCTCCTCAGCCTCTGTAGAAGGAAACACATAAAAACACACACACACACATGCACGCACACATCCATGCGTTGCAGATACACAATCATAAAACAGACAAGAATACACACACACACACACACACACACACACACACACACACACACACACACAGCATGAGCGCTACGCCATTGATGGTAACTACAGAAACAGGTACTCACTATTATCTGCTGCCATCCTATCCCCTGTGCTGTCTATAAAACAGCTCCTGCTCTGTCATGTCACATGCCTTTCACTTCTAACTCTACTAGTCATACAGTGCCGCTACAACACAGGAGTTATTCTACAAGATTATAAATATTATGATAAAAAGCAGAGCTGTAAACCTGAATCCTGTCATAGACTTCCTGCTGTCCCTACACAAGTGTTTTTACAATGGCCATGGGGATGTAATGCTACAGATGGCACTGGAGGGGATCTGAATGCATGCCTGTATGGATGGAATCAACAAAAGACAAAAATTAAATAAGTGTTCAAAGTGTTAACACCACAATGGGCTGACAGTATGAAGGTTAGGTATTCATAAAGCACACCATAACTGTAACTGTCACAAAAGTTATCAAATGTTTTCTATTTTATTTTGACATTAATTATAAAGGGATACATAAGCTTCAATTATTTGTATACATTCCTGCAGATTGCATGAACGGTAATGTTTTCATACTCTATCAAGGCTTTTAGGAGACCCCTTGGTGGTCATATGGTAGGTCATCTGACTTAACTGGCTGAGGTTTTCATTTTTTGTCTAAACATCATTATTCTCCAACTCTTGTTTGTTAAAGGTTGTTTAAAAGCAGTGTATTGCTGCCCTCTGTGGTTGAAAGCTCCAAGCCTGTTGCACCTGGATCCACAGGGTCCTGGAGGACATCACTGCAGCAAGATGAGACATTAAACCACTGGAGGTCAGCAAAAACAAGTCACTTTCTAAATAGTAGTTTAGTAATCTAAACCTAATGCCAAGATTAATCAAAGTTGTTTTAGTTTCCTGTCCTTAACCTTGACCTTAAATCAAAGTTGATTTACATAACTAAATGTTTTGGTTTGAAAAACAGGTGGAAATACTATGGGATCAGTTATTTTTCTGATGTTGGAAGCAAGTTGTCATAACAGTTTTTATAATCGTTGTCTTGGAGTTTTTCATTAATATTATGTAATAATTATCTATATAATTATTATTATTAAGACTGTTTTGGCTTCCGAAATATAATACCATAAAAGACTATTCACTATTCCTTATAAAGCTATTTAATTTAATTATAATTACATAGCCAAAATGCATACATTTTACTATTTGCTCACTAACAATTCTGCGGACAACGCCTCTGACAGTTTTGTCTACAAAAGCGTTTGCTGGTGACTTGCTGCTGAGAACATCTCTAGACCGATTTGGATCACATTACACTGCACCACATTAAACTCATTAAGTTCTAACAGGTTTGTGGTGACGCAGTGTGAATACCATCTTGGTGTTGTCTAGGTTAATTCTGGTTTCTGGGCCTTTTATGGTGTAACACTCTGTGTCAGAACGGCAAGCGAGACGACACAGTGACAGAGGGAGCAACAAACAGAACATGAGGGGAAGAGGGAGGGAATAAAAGGAGAAAAGGCTAAGTGGTGAGGAGGGAGAAAACAGAGAGACAGAGGGAGAGGAAGGGGGCTGAGAGGGGAGCAGGGGCGTGTCCAGGAGAAAGGCCCAGGGAGAAGCTAGTCCCCAGAAACCAAAGACTGCCCTGACTTTGTCCCCTTATCAACTAAAACAGGATTATAGAGGCCCTTGGATTGTTAGTTATGGCTGAATTAAAGCCCCTGAAGACCAATCATTGTTTTTCAATGTCATAAACTCAAATATTTGTTAGTTTCAAAGTTTCTTCTCAGTTCGGACTAAAAATGAAGCAGTCCACTTAAGACACTGATACCTATGAGCAATCACTAGTTGAAGAATATCTCTCTGTATGTATCTAGTTGTGGTTCTAGCGAAGGTTAGTTGAGAAAAAGGTAAAAATACATCAGAGAGCTGAATGTTCTGATATAATTTCTGAAAACAGCTTGAAACAGGTGCTTATGAATCAAAAACTGTCCCCTTTACCTAATTCATCACCTTACCTTTCCCCTCCCTCAAGAAGCTCTAGACACGCCACTGAAGGGGAATGAAGGAAGGAAGGGGGCGAGGGGGTTCTAAATAAAGGGCCTCTTTGGGGACTGACAAGCCTACGAGAGCCTTGGCCCGGCATTGTGTGTGTGTCACAGGGTACTGATACAGACAAAGGGAAATGGGAAGGCGAGCTCGCTGGCACAGTGGAGCCAACAGCAATCGTGATTTAGGATAGGCGAGCTCTTGACTCTGACACTGAGTCAATCAAGGGCAGAATAATAAGGACAGACTATGTGGTCAGGCCTTTTGCTCGCTTTTGGCAACGCTTTGCAAAAATACTCGCAGCTTGCATGTTTTTATTCGACAGGCTGCTGAAGCCAATATGCACATTGCCAAAGCCTTGAGGACGAGCCAGTTATTTGTATTTATAGATGATGTGAAACATTCTCTGATTTTTGGACAAAGAAGGTAACATTTGCTCCGATATGGTGTCCAGACAAACACAACTTTGTTTTGTATAAGGCCCATTACATTGTGTTTTAATTATAATTACGCACTTTCTTTCATTCATGTATCCTTCCCAGTTAATATTCTCTCTTTCTCTAAAGTCTACTCTTCCAAATTTTTCAGAATGTAAGAGGAGTGCATGCAGAGAAGGGATGTTACATGTATTTAAAGCAGGTTAGTGGGCAGGAGAAAAAGAGGGACAGGTTGAGGGAGACCCAGTTGTTGGTTTTAGAAAGAAGATGGCACAATAATGTGTGACTGTGAGAGGATCTTGGCAAACCCTTTAAGCACAGCAAAATGAATAATAATGTTCCATACCCATAAATTCAATTCTGAGAAGCTCTGCCAGCGCAGAAAGTTGTCGTGGTAAAAGGAAAGAGACAGATAGGGTCAGGTGTAGTGTCCACTTTGGAGCAGATATAGTATTTTCATGTCCTGTATACGCTGAACCAGGATATGAGTTAATCAGTGCTGTCAGCCATGGTGACTGACATGTGTGCCGTCCAGTAACAGACAGACAACCCAGACAGCCTCAGCTCTGTGACCCCCAGAAATGACAAGAAAACAAACAAACAACGGAACCAAACAAAAAGCGAAGGGAAAAAATGAACCAAATGCAGAAGGAAAGAGAATCCAACAGGCAGGAAAAGACATGCAGCGACAGACGGACAAACAAGAAGCCACATCACTTACTGCTATATTTACTAGACCTCATTTCTGGAGTAAACAACATTGGACAGAAAACAACAAAACAAAAGAAACAATACAAGAAAAACAAAAGATTAAAAGCAGTGAGTTACTCTCCAACATAAAAACACAGTACAGTCGATGAGACTGGCACAGCAAATGGGGTGGGTGTTGTAACTCATTTGACTAATGGCGATTGTGTGCCTTTGCATTGATTACGGCATACCTCTTGTATAGCAATTTGTCCCACTATTGCTGCGTACAGCTATTATAACCTTTCATGTGATTTACAGAGAAATCATCTCGGCATTTGCAATTTTCCACGGCTTTGCATGCATTACTGGCCGTAAGGAGAGATTCACATACAAAAGCCAGCCAATCTACTGTCCACCCTAACCTTAACTACTCTGCATTTTGAAAGTGCTTTACATTTGTACCGCTAGAAAAGCAGGCAGTAACAAATTAGCATGTATTTAAAACAGCAGAAAGTATTCCCTTAACTGACTGAACGAGGATCACAATGCAAAACAAAAGCACAACGTCACAAAGACAGATTTCAGCGCGTAGACAAGGCTTGATGATGGGGTCATAATAAGCAGACATTACATAGTATGATATATTATGATGTAAAACCTGTTCTTGGTTAAAAATTGGACATTATTCAGTGTGGAAACTTCCGCAACAGACAAACAGCAAAGCAAGACAACATGGCGTGTAGCAACAGTGTTTAACCCCTGGAAACAAGAAGAAGAGGGTCATTTTAATCCCTCTGTTTTATCTCTCTGTGATTGCTGAGCCAGTAACAGAACCGTGACACAGCCAGTGGAGGGAGGAGCAGTTTCTTTCATCTGATTTTGCCAATACTGTTTCAGTGTCACTGCCCATGCAATCACAGGAGAGTGACAACACATGCCCTCATTTGCATCCCTATGATTTAAAGGAATAGTTTGACATTTTGGGAAATGTGCATACTTGCTTTGTTGCCGAGAGTTAGATGAGAAGATCGATACCACTCTTGTTTCTGTATAGTAAATATGAAGCCAGGGCCAGGAGACTGTTAGCTTAGCTTAGCATAAAGACTGGAAACAGGAAGAAACAGCCAGCCTCACTCTGTCACAAGGTAGAAAAAACAACTGCCTACCAGCACCACTGGTTTTTAAGTAACCTCCGACTAACATCAAGACAGGATAACACTGCTCCTGAAACCACAACTTGTAGTTTTTACATGTTAGTTCACATTTTAGTTCAATCTAGATAACATAACAATTAGAGAGCTTTAGAGGAGCATTTTGTTACATTTGACCAAAGCCAGGCTAGCTGTTTCCCCCTGTTTCTAGTTTTTATGCTTATGCTAACTGTTTCCTAGCTGTTGCTTAATATTCAACTTACTAATGACATTGAATAAGTGTATTTCACATAAATGTCTAACTGTTCCTTCACTCACATGATAATGAAAAGCAAAACATGTGACACCATTTTGAACATATTAGAAGTCAATCCCAAAACATTTCAAGCAGAATTTAGCCACATGCCATAATGAGAGATTTTATCAGATGATCCATGGATGCTCAGGGTGAAAACAGCAGGTTGTCACATTCACCGCTGTGGGGTTACTCCTCTCTTAGTTTAGGACAGGTCTCACTGACGTGATACGAAGAAACTCGGCTTATATGAAAATCAATATCACAAAGGGACTGGCTCTCAGATAGATGCAACCATGAGTGATGTTTTCAAATCTCATTACATTAAGACTTAAAATTACATATTCTAAGCCTAAATCTCATTCTCATTCACTTACCAAATAATTTGGATTTTGGACACACTGTAGCTTCTCGTAATGACTGGCGGCTGTTCAAAACAATGTCAGAAGGACTTACAGTGTTCTCCATCTAAAGCCTTCAATTGTCAGTCGTGCTCCTACTCCTTAAAGTAAAATCAATATTTTTCTTTGTTTATAAGAGAGGTACAGCATAGAGAAATGACTAGTATTAATAATTCCTATCACACATAGTTTAGCCTTGATCGTTAGAACATAGAAATCTAAGCAGCACCAATGGACCACTTACAAAGAAAAGTGACAATAAATCCAATAAAAAAAAATAACTTCAACCTCCTGCATTGCTTAATGTGTTAATTCTCTGTCTCCTCTGTTTCTTTTTATGCACTTCTCTGGATCAAGCTGCAAAAGTATTTGTATGCAATTTACAGCTTAAAAATACAGAATTTTAAAATGTAAGCGTAAACACAGCGTTAAAATTTGGTACTGATTGTTGAGCTTGATTGTTGAGCTGTCTGGAGCTTTATTTAAAAAAATGGGATTAGAACAGTCTCCTAACTAATAAGAAAAAATTGTCAAGATACGTAACTTGTAAACCACAATGCACAAATAAAAGCAGAGTGATTTGTATGCGTAAATCTGGATCTGTACCTGTGGCTCTAATTTACAGCTCGTATATTTCATTTCCATTTTTCAGTGGTATATATTTGTGAATCTCCACCTACTCGAGTGGATCCTTTTGAGAGTGTTGTTCCGTGCCATTGGTGTCGCACAAAAAATTCCCATGAACAAGCTTTTCCAATAATGTAACATTTATGGATGCCAACAATACAGATTATGATGCCAACAGCTGTTAAACTACAAGAGGAGAAGAAGAAGGAGAAGGAGAAACCAAACCAAACCACTGGTTGCTTGTTTGGCAAGTGTAACTGGTGGCTAGTTGACATACAAATGATGATATCAGAGTTGTAAACTAGAGGGACAGATACAGATTTACAGATACAATCACTCTGCATTTATTTGTGAATTGTATTTTGTGAGTTACGTATCTTGACATTTGTTACTGTGCGACTGCTCTAATCCAATACTTTTTTATGCAGCTTTCTCGACATCCAGTATGTGATATGCTCTAAATACGATTTAAAGCAGATGGACTAGTGGGAAAAATATCTTACGTGTAGATTTTAAACTATCTCAACTGTTTGTTTCTGGTGTCCAGAGGAGCACCACAGAGGAACCAGGGGAGACAGGCAGACGGAGGGGTGGACACAGAGGCATGCAAACTCACATTTACACCCTCCCCCCACCACACACACACACACACACACACACACACACACACACACACACACACACACACACACACACACACACACACACGTTAACTTACATGAAACATAAGAGCAGGTTTGCAAACACAATTAAACACACTCACACACACACAGCGCTCCCTCCACCCAACCCCATAGCATGCAGCATCTCAGTGAGAAGGAGACAGACAAGAGCAAATGGACATACTGTAGAAACCGGCCATGACGGAGTTTTGACAGCGGTCCCCCGTATAGTCATTGGGACACCTGATGGAGGGAAAACAAGACACGGGGTGGGGAGGGAGGTGGGGAGGGTTAAAGATACAGAGGGAAGAGAGGGGATAAAACAGGAGGCAGGAGAGAAGGAGGAGTACACAAAGACAGATAGAAAAGAGGGGGAAATAAAGAGGAAGGGAAAGAGGGAGACATAAGAGAGCAGAGAGATGAGGGGTTAGAAACAGCACAGTCCACCAACTACAGAGAGAGAGATGGCCTGCATACCGTGACATTGCCGGCATCAATATGACATCACTGCTACAGTTAAGACATCATCACAGTCATGAGGGTCATGTGATGGTGGTGCAGGAAGTAGGAGGGGTCAAGCGTACAGTGGTTAACCTCCAACCCCTCTCATACACAAACACAGATGACCGCAAGCACACACACACAAACTCACACACACAACCAATTGCCTTATAGTAGATTATGGCCTCTCATTCATTGCATTAATTTCTTAAATCCAGACCAAAACCATGATGAAATAGAAAAGCAAAGCAAAGGGAAACTTTTAAGTAGATCTGATTTATAATGGACATCCATAATTTTGATGTCCATTATAAAATATATCTGTAAAAACGGTAAAACAGCAGACAAAGTCAATTTATACTGCCATTGTTTGCCTGTACAACTTGCTCAGACTCAGCAAAGTGTTCTTTGCACATGATATCATCTCAATGTAAAGTCTATGGTATGAGCCATAAGGGGCGGGGAAAGATAGACATTGCATGTGTCGTAAGTTGCCCAAAGCAGCAGCAAAGTAAAGGGAGAAAACCTTTCTTGAATATATGCTGCCAGAGTTATGTTCAAATTAATGGCTGGCCATTTTTTTATACTGTATTCAATTTCTCCCTAATAAATGCATTTTCTCATGCAGGCCTTTATTTCAAAACTGACATTATCCAAGATTAACAAATCAATCTAACTGATTTGTAGATTACCATTATAGTAACAGGATCATTTTCACTGACTAACATGCTAGCCAGTGCATGTTAAGCAACATGGAAAGAAAAACGTGTTAGTAAACAGTTGCCTATTTACACATCCAGCAAATGAGCAACATTAACATTCATTTTGAGTTTCTGGGAACCTGATGAATCTAAATCAAATATTCACACTCTGCATATTAGCTCTGTTTTTGGTCTCCACCAGCTACATTTTCTACTTTCTTCACAAGGTAATTGCAAACGTCTACTGTTTGGTGCTGAGCAGGTGGCATACAGTGGGTTTATCAGAGCTTTTCCCACTGAAAACAGCTGCCTGCTTTTGTAGGAAATAAGGCTGATGAGAGCTGTAAGAGTGAACCAAAATAATATGGTTTCGGCCCATGCATCCCAAACAACGAGAAAAAAGAAACTATCGTTCTACTGCAGGGAAGCTGCAGGTGATAATTCTCTGTGTGTTTGTCACCACAAGAGACACCTTTTACACATAGTGATTTGATCCACCGTTAATAGAAAAATACTGAATGTATTGTACTGTATGTACTGCTAAATGTATTATCTTATTAACATACCAAATGTGGACGGAATATGGAATTTGTAAACAAACATATTGCATTACTGGCTGCCTGGATACTTTCTGCTATGTGTATAACTTTATCAATATGATGCAGTGTAGAGTTACAGTTATGGTTAGTACTCCAACCAACACATAAGTACTCGGAATGTCTTTGAATGTTGTTAGGAGTGGCTCTGCCTTCTCCCCATCCTCTTGTTTCTTGTGTTTTCCCTTCCCCTTTGTCTTTGTCTGTCTCTGTCTGTCAGTCTGTGTGTTTTGGGCGTGTCATCCTGGCTCACCGCCTGCAGTCAACCCATGCTGTTAAAACCCCGGCTCTACAGTCACTCCCTGCCAGTTCGTCAGTTAACATTCTGCGATAACATGCGTTCCGGCCCTCTGTGTTTTTCTACTGCCTAAGTGATTCTTGTTGCCTTTTTTTACTAACGCCAGTTTCCTTTGCCTGTTTACAGAGAGAGACTTCAGTCATGTTTGGAGACGCTGCCTGCCAGCCTAGAGAGAGTCCTGACTTATAAATATGCCCTAGTTAGCCTGAGACCCCTGCTCCGTCCAGCCCGCTCGCTTTGTCCCCAAGTCCTGTTATCTGTGCTCTGAATAAAACTGAATTACTGTTCATCTACTTCCTGGTCTGCTAACAAATGTTCCCTGTAGAATATTTTGAGGTCAAAGATTAATGAAGGGGGGGGGGGGGGGCAGCAGGGAATCAAAGCAGTACCCTGTTCAGTCATGCACATGCAGTGATTACGGAGAGTGATGCTGCATTCTCCATTGAGAACAACATCCTTGATTTGTGTAATGCTGACTGGTGTGGAAGTGTGCTAACCCTCACAAACTTTTCATATAATGCTATTTGCCTTTTTCCTTTTCCTTTATTGTGTTATATCTTTTTTTGTGTGGATGTAATAGGTTTGCAAAGTGAAAAAGCCCAAAGGGAGTTACCATCTCCCACAGAAAACACTGCTCTGAACTGCCTGAAAACAGCTCGTTTGTAGTTCATCCTTTACTTCCGTAACCTATCTGCGTTACTATGTAACACGTGTCGTAATGCTTGCCTAGCAGATCGTGTGGCACGCCCTCAAACACTGGCGGAGAAACGCACCGAGTTGCAGCACACACAGTGACAAGACATCTGCCAGCCCTCACCCCCACCCTCCCTACCAAATGTTAGATACCCCCCAGGCAGTCAATAGACATAAAGTTGTGCTGCAGAAATGTGCAGTATGACAGAAATACAGTGTTTTTTGAAAATTAAACCACGTAAACCTATTCTGGTAAAACCCCTAAATAAATTTATGGACCTGAAAATGAGCATAATGTGAACCCTGTAAACTGAGCCTTCGAGAATGAGTACTTGTCAAAATGACCTTCTGACAAACGCTAAAATGGAGATGTGTAAAATTCAACAGTTTTTTACAAGAATAAAAATGGGACACACACACACAGCACACAGAGAGACAGCCTTCCACAGTGTGTGAGCATGAAAATGGCTGGAATAGGTTTTGGTATTTCTTGTGCATAAATAACAGCAACAGTTTACATGCAGCTGCAGAATGTGGTGTTTTGTTTCTGGATGGGTGGCGAGCTGTCAGCAATACCACGGGCTGAATATGATTCATATTCTGGCATCAGCCATCAAACTCATAACACTGAAACTAACAAGTAGGCTCCTCACTGCATCACAGTAACTAGAAAATGTATGCATGTACATGGTCCAAAATATAAGTAATGTTTAATACTTTGAAGCTAAGCATAGGTATTGCCTTTCTTTTATTCTTTATCAGCTCTTTAAATGAAACACTACATGACCTCATTACAACTGATGTCCTTGAAAATAAAAAAAGCTTTTTGAGATGTCTTGAATTGTGTATTATAATGGGTGTCATGGCTTTTATCCAGTCAGGCATAATTGATTTTATATTTGCATTGCCATAATTTATAGCAAATCAACTTTAACTGCAGTCAAATGAAAAATAGGCATGTTACAGAAAATGTGATCCAACTGCAGTGCACCTTATACTGTGGATGAACCACAGTTATCTTTTGGGTGTGGCCCTCTTACAGTCATTATAGGATAACCGAAGCCCTCTGGCTCTCACGACCATAATGTATTTATTACAGTGATTAAGTATCGGGTCAACAAATGTATCCAGCTTAAACGCAAGGACCTTAGTCTTAACCGCATGTGTATACTGTCCATATAACTTACTGGGTATCCTTTTCTCCTCTTTCTCACCACTAAAGAGACAACTTGCATTTTGAATCAATTACAGCAAAAACCCTCGGAAGAGCCCACTCAGCAATTTCCCATAGAGTTATAAATAGAGCAGAGAGAAAGAGAGAGAGGTGGGAGACACTCTGAGCTGAAGCAGCCCTATGCCGGCAGAGCTTTTACTGTATATCATTTCTTTTCCCTTTTGCCTTTTCTCTTTCTCTCTCTGCTTCGCATTTCCCCTCTTCTCTCCACCCTTTATTTATCTGCCCGTGCTTGCTTTTCCTTTTTTCCCCGACTCTACTGTTCTTGCAGCCATGAGGAAAAGAAAGCCAGCACACCTTTTGTTCCAGCCATTTGAATGAAAGCAAAGCCTGTGATTCATTTTGTTATATTCATTATACAAAGCCTCGTCAGATTTAAGAGAGAAAAAAACCACAGAGATGGACATTATGTTCAGACATCAATAATAGCCTGAACTCATGACATTTGAGGATCAGATTAGATTTGATTACATGAACTTTATTGATTCAAATGGATAATTCGGCATTTTCAACCTATAGCTGGGAATACAGGGGCTAATGTTTTCTACTGGCTGCCAGACTAGAGTTTACCAACAAAGTTCAGATTAAATAGAATCAGATCTATCTGCAGCTCTACACAAAAAACTATAACATAGGTTGAAAGGAAATTTGAGTAAGCATGACACGCCAAGCTTTATCTGCAACAGCTTGCCAGAGGCAATGTTTGTATGTTCTGATCTCCACTTAAACCTCCACACTCTGTTTTAGCCAGGGTGCCTTTCTGTGTGTGCTGTCCTCCACTTTAACCTACAGACTCCATTTTGCAGTACAGCATTACTTTCCCCTTCAGGAAAGAGGAGATTATATGTTTCCATGCACAAACGAGCTTGGAAATACCACCTTACATTTCAGGGATATTAACCATTTTTACTGTCTGCCAGTTCCACGCAGTGCACTCATTTGCAGCTGTTGTGCAGAACCGTGAGTGTCTTTGTATGTGAGTGTGAGCAGGGGTCTACATATCTCTAAAGTGAACAAGCCGAGCAGACAGTCTACCGACAGCAGTCTTATTTACATGCTGTTTTCCAACGACCCAAACAGACAGGCCAACAAAGGATGACAAAGCTGAGAAGCTACAGTAACTCTCTGGAAACTGCTGGCTGGTCTGCTGTAGCTTCTTGAAATATGCAGTGTGTCCGTATGTAGCAGAGTCATGGACAGAAGGTTGTACAATCCTGCATATTTTGTTCCCCTAAATTGCTATATACGCAGCTTGTAATGTCTATATGCACCCTCTCCAACAAAGTTTTCTGCTTGTCAGCACCATGAAAAAAAATCCTGATTTATCCTTCAGCAATGACCGGAAGGTACATCAGATGAGAGATAGAGAGAAATGCAGGGATAGAGAGAGTGAAGAGGGGAAGCAAGGGATAGAAACATACATACATACACACACACACACACACACACACACACACACACATATATGTATGTATATATGTATGTGTATATATATATATATATACACACACATACACACACACACACACACACACATATATATACATAGAGAAAGAGAGAGAAAAAGACAGAGAGAGAGAGAGAGAGAGATGGAAATGAAGAAACTAAGAAACTCTGGCACACACACCAAAGCATCTAAGGATGGATATCAAGCAGATACATCCAATTGTACAGGAAGCATAACAACAAAGCTCTTGATCATGCACGACTATACCCGCCATCTGTTATCCACGCTGTCAGAGGAAGTGTTTGTTACACATCTACAAAATGACCCAGTGTATGGCAAGTTGGAACTGAAAGATTACAACCTCCAGTTTGGAAAATATATGTTTCATGAAGTAGAAAACACAGACTTTTTCATAGGTTAATACAAAGTACTGTAATGTATACCAAAGAAGGGCAATGCAACCCGATAACTGTTAATATGATGCCATTATCCACCTCTACTACACTAGCTAAGATTCTATAACTATAACTAGCTATAACTTGCCTCTGCAGGTGCCACTATAAATAAATCACTGTAATAAGTTGATAATACACAGCAGTGATTCATCTAATAACGAGTTCATGGACATCTTTGCACTTGCTGTTCTTAAAACCTACCAGTCTGGTAGCTGTTTCCTGGGAAAAATCCTCCCACTCACAGGAAGTGATGCATTTTATGTTCACAGTTTCTTTCAAAACAACAGAAGAAGTACTAGATACTTAGCATGTAGTGAAACTCATTAACCACTCCTGGTCTGTGTCAGTGCAAAAATAGTTATGGCATCACTACTACTATCTTTCAGATCCAGCTTGCCTGTCTCCTCCCTACGGGGACAACACAAAATATGGTGACAGAGAAGAGGAGAAAAAGAGGAAAATGGGGAAGTTTGTAAGGCCTGAGCTGTGTATGTCCTAAACTATTACTCTGTACTCTATTATCCCTGTACAGAAGCGAAGCACCTTCTAAACATGTTCAAAGTGAGGTGTTCATGCGCGTGTCTGAGCTTCTGAGTGTCGGTTGGCTTCCACACGATTCCTGCATCCTGTCAACTTTACAACTGTGAGCCAAGTAAAGATAAATCTATGGCCAACAATCCAGGAGTAAACAGCAGACAGTATCTCACAAAGGTGACTACACCCCTCACATTGTTGTAAATATTTGATTATATTTTTCCATGTGACAACACTGAAGAAATGACACTTTGCTACAATGTAAAGTAGTGAGTGTAAAGCTTGTATAACTTGTAGCTTGTAAATTTGCTGTCCCTTCAAAATAACACATCACATAGCCATTAATGTCTAAACTGCTGGCAACAAAAGTGAATACACCCCTAAGTGAAAATGTTCAAATTGGGCCCAATTAGCCATTTTCCCTCCCCGGTGTCATGTGACTCATTAGTGTTACAAGGTCTCAGGTGTGAATGGGGAGCAGGTGTGTTAAATTTGGTGTTATCGCTCTCACACTCCCTCATACTGGTCACTAGAAGTTCAATATGGCGCCTCATGGCAAATAACTCTGAGGATCTGAAAAAAAGAATGGTTGCTCTAAATAAAGATGGCCTAGGCTATAAGAAGATTGCCCAGACCCTGAAACTGAACTGCAGCACGGTGGCCAAGACCATACAGCGGTTCAACAGGACAAGTTCCACTCAGAACGCCTCGCCATGTTTGACCTAAGAAGTTGAGTGCACATGCTCAACGTCATATCCAGAGGTTGTCTTTGGGAAACAGGCGTATGAGTGCTGCCAGCATTGCTGCAGAGGAAGGGGTGGGGGGGGTCAGCCTGTCAGTGCTCAGACCATACGCCACACACTGCATCAAACTGGTTTGCATGGCTGTCATCCCAGAAGGAAGCCTCTTCTAAAGATGATGCACAAGAAAGCCCGCAAACAGTTTTCTGAAGACAAGCAGACTAAGGACCTGGATTACTGGAACCATGTCCTGTGGTCTGATGAGACCAAGATAAACTTATTTGGTTCAGATGGTGTCAAGCGTGTGTGGCAGCAACCAGCTGAGGAGTACAAAGACAAGTGTGTCTTGCCTACAGTCAAGCATGGTGGTGGGAGTGTCTGGGGCTGCATGAGTGCTGCCGGCACTGGGGAGATACAGTTCATTGAAGGAATCATGAATGCCAACATGTACTGTGACATACTGAAGCAGAGCATTAGAGCCCGACCGATTTATCGTTTTGCAGATATAAGCTACTTGCAGATATATCTGCATCGGCGTTTATAACAGCCAACATATGATTATTAAAAAAGAAACAGCGTGTCGGATCCTTCACTCTTGTCATGAGTGTTTCATAGTTTGCCCACCAGGGGGCGTGCTGCAGCTCCTCAGTTCAAAACACTGTAGCACCACAGAACAAAACATCAGCTGACCGCAGTGTACCAGAGCTCAGGGCCCCCTGTATTGTTGATTTATGCTACCTATCGAGATGTGCTACTTAGCAGTTCTGCGCATGCGTAGGACCCACAAGCGAGGTCTGTTTCCACGCCCATAAATCTGTGCAACCTTGCTGTTGGGCATGCCATAGATACAGTGGTTGATCGTCAGCATTTTCAAAATAATTATTCATTATTAGTCTTAACAGAATATGCTACCCCTGATATCTTAAATAAAGATGTTATAATATAGTATTTGAACATGCTCCCCATCTCCTTACAGTACACATGGAGTGAGTAATGGTGCAATATAAAATTATTCTGTAGTGGGAGCATTATTTGATAGAGGATTTTAGTATATCAGAATACGCTACCCCTGAAAAACAGAAAAAAACAGAAGACATCCTAATACTGTAAGAGTTGTACCTTTATGGGATTGGAAATGACAACACATAAGGTAGCCTTTTTTCAATAGGGCAGCGCGACTCGATGGACTCTGCTATCGATTTGCGCTATGGTAGCATTTTTCGACAAGGCAGCATATATTGTCAAAACACCGGCTCAGCTGGAGCTACGGTCGGTTACTCTTGGTAGCTCTCACACTCAGTGTTCCCGGTGAGTTGGTCTTTTGTCACGTCAATTACATGACTTAAATAATAATAAAAATATCCCTCATCACTTTTCCTCCTAGGAGAACAGATTTGATAACCCTCCCGTTTTTCACTGCCCTCCCCAGGCTCAGCAGTGTGTTTAATGTTACGGTAACCTAGTGCTGGAGGCTACGCTGCTGACATGTGAATGTAGATTTATTTCTGAAACAGTTTGGCAGTTCTAGTGACCGGTCCTCTCATTTCTCTCTAATTTAATACTTCTAAACAATTTCTAACATCGCCATCAGCAGATAACGCTGCCTGTTGGCTAAATTAGCCACAAATCTAATGCCGTGTTTATCAGTGGAGGACACTAACATTAATCAGCGATTAAACTGTAGTGTCTCTAGTTACAGTCAGCGTGTCAGAAATGATTAAACCGTAGGGGACTTGTGAATAAACGTGAGCTGAACAAGTATCTAACACACAGTTGCAGGTCCTCATTGTAGACAGTCATGTAGTATTAGATTAATTCAAGGGCCGCGTTTCCTCTGCGTCACTGTATCATAGAGCCAGAAGGAAATCGTTTCTGTAGCTTTGGATGGAATTAACAGAGCAGTGCAGATAGATTTAGAAAGTAGTCATTGTGGCAGATTGTATCTAAGATAATAACTACAGCTTGACAAAAAAAAAATAAAAAAATGTTTATATATATATATATATATATATATATATATATATATATATATATAAAATTATTTGCCTATGTAGGAGAGCCCTGTTTATCATTATTATGACAGCAATGACGTGAGAGATGATATATGGTATTATTATTATTTTTAGTAGTAGTTTATAGTTTCTGTTTTGCTGGCCCCCACAATACATACACTATTTAATTTAATGTTCATTAGTAGTAGCAGTAATTTAATAAATTATAAATTTAATAATTTAAATTTATATTATAAATGTAATAATTTATAATAAATCAGATATTTTTAAAATGTTTTCTGTAGTTTTATACATTTGACTCTTATTTATCAAAACTTTTTAAACTGCATTATGTCATGGGATCTTGGTGAGGTCTCAACCTAACAAATGTAACAAATAATTTTGTTTATGTTATGTGTTTATTAAAATCAGGGGAAAAAAGAATATTGGCCGATATGTCGGCTAACGGATTTTATAATCCTCAAATATTAAAATCGGTATCGGACTTAAAAATCCCATATCGGTCAGGGCTCTAAGAGCATGATCCCCTCCCTTCAGAGACAGCATCTGTGGGGCGTCCTCAATCGGAAGGTGGAGGAACGCAAGGTCTCTGACATCCACCAGCTCTGTGATGTTGTCATGGAGAAGTGGAAGAGGACTCCAGTGGCAACCTGTGAAGCTCTGGTGAACTCCATGTCCAAGAGGGTTAAGGCAGTGCTGGAAAATAATGGTGGCCACACAATATTGACACTTTGGGCCCAATTTGGACATTTTCACTTAGGGGTGGACTCACTTTTGTTGCCAGCGGTTTAGAAATGAATGGCTATGTGATGTGTTATTTTGAGGGGACATCAAATTTACACTGTTATACACGCTGTACACTCACTACTTTATATTGTAGCAAAGTGTCATTTCTTCAGTGTTGTCACATGAAAAGATATAATCAAATATTTACTATAATTTGAGGGGTATTCTCACTTTTTTGAGATACTGTATTTGGACTTTTAACTGTTCATGATCAAATCATTAGTATCAACAGAATATCAGCTCTTGTTGAGTCAAAGCTAATATCAACTATCAGTTGATCTTGTTAGAAATTTTATCTGAATGTTAAAGTTAAAGTATAGTTAATACTTGCAGCTAGCCATTAGGGATTAACAATACTGTGATTATGGTTGCCAAGTAATTGACTCCTAACAATGGCTTATGATAGATGGTGGTGAGTTTAACTGTGACAGTGAATATATTTATAAAATGTAGGCTAACACAGACTTAAGGGCTAGGGTTCAGTCCAGTACTGTACAGTTCTGAAGTATTAAAATCTGTCTTGTGTCCTCTGTTGTCTTTGCTTTACCCTCAGCATGCAAAGCATTTTGTGGTTACATGCCAACAGAGTAACCGACAATAGAGACAGCAGCTCATATACTGCATCAGCGGGACGTCCTTTACTTTACATGCCATTCTTTTTTTGCTACATGGTAATCAAAAGTAGAATCAACTGCCTTCTTACACAAGTTACCTGCTTGCTAACCTATAGTCCAAGGAGACAAAGCTCTGCTGTACTCTGATGGAAGATTAAAAAAAAGGCTTTTCTTAAAATTGCTGATTACTATATATATTATTTACCATAGCATCAATGGACTTGCCCAACATAAACTGACATTACCCTGCATATTGGCTTGAAAAAACCCCAAAACCCTACAGTTTTCCCTAGTTGGGTTCTACTAGCATATGCATCTCAACTACAAAAAAATTTTGAGCTCTTTATCTTCAGTGTTGATTAAATAAATAATATAATTTAATTTGTCAATATAATTTGTAACACCATGGTCTTTTTTAATACATTAGCATTTCCTCCCAATTTTTTTCTCAGGCATGTCTGTCACAAGCAGACCTCACTCACTGTAAACTAAAGTGATCTACGTGGAGCAAAACACATTATATTTTTAATGCATGAGGACATAATGTCCAAGTCACATCAGCTCTATGGAGAAAAAACAAAACAATTTTCTTCTGTGGCAATTGGTGAAAAATTGCAAACACCAAGCCTTAGACATAGTCCATAGTGAGTGGTTAGGTGGGTTACAGGTGCATGTATGTGGGGGAGGGTACAACTAGGTGTCCGAGACCAGAGAGAGGCAGACAGAAAGAGACATGGAGGGAGGAGAGACGGGGGAGCGACTACACAGTGATGACTGAGGGGACGGGGGCCGACTGATCAACCAACTTACTTGCAGGACAGCTGGTTAATACCATGTATGAAGTAACAGTCTCCTCCATTTACACAGTAGGCCTTCTCTGAGTCGTTGCAGCGCCTCGCATGACTCACACCTGGAGATGGGGTGGTAGTGGTCACTGCGAGGAGGACAGTCAAAAAGGAAACACAAAACACAAAAAAATGCTGTCACCTCTTTGTTAAAATAACAAGGTGTTCATATTTGATGGCAGCCATAGTACCACATATCATATCGTCCTATACCACATACCTTTAAGACCTCTTTAGTGAATTTCAAATAGCTTAGTGTAACAAATCTACTTTTTGGGCAGGCATCAGTCACTTTCCTGTGCACACTGCAGCTCTCCAGCTCACAGCTGCTGGTTATGTGAGTAGAAAGAGCAAGATTCAGTCGAATACACACGCTCCCCCAACTCCAACACACTTCTGTCTTCTTCTTTTCAAACTTGAAGGGTCTATTTAGCTATATTTAATAAGTGATAATAGTATACTGTAATATACTTTGATAGTAATACTGTATAATACGTGATTCTGTTTTCCCTCATTTCTGTTTCTGTTGTAACTGCTGGGTTCTCGCTAGACAGAATCCCACAGCATGGAAAATAGTCTGATACAAGATACAAAAGCTGGACATTAACGATATACTGAGACTACACTCACTGATCTTGACAGATGACAATATGGTGTCACAGGCCAGGTAACATTTTTTATATCACGTAGCTTTTATAATAAACATGTGATTCTATTCTATTCTAACCCTTTTATTCTGAAAAACAACTCCATAGGTGTGTGGACTTTCTCTATGAAAAAATATATGTAGGAAAGGGGGCTTAAAGAACAAATCGTATATAAAGGCGGTTTATATCAATGTGCTATAATAGTTAAAAGTTATCTTAATGATAGTCATTTCTTTTTGTTACAATCAACATTAATTGGTCAGATTGTGTGGAAAGATAGATAGAGACTGATATGCTCACAGATCTGCACGCTGATTATACTCGTAGTGTTTTCTTGTCCTAGGGAGTTTTCAGCCACACAGGTGTAGTTTCCAGAGTCTTCCACACGGACACGACTGATCTGCACCTTTGAGTTTTTCCTTCAGTGATGGGGAATGAGAGGCAGAGGCAGAGAAGGGGGAAGGGAGAGAGAGAGTGATACAAAGACAGCGTCAGTTATTGTTTCAACAGCAGCAAACTCATCCAGGAATGGATGAGAAATGTAATTCCTGTTTCCAGACCAGATAGCCATAAACAATGGATCATTATACAAGTTCACAGTGAGTGGCCAGCAATGCTAACGGACAATTATTAAGTTCAACCCAGACCCAGGCTAAACCCAATCTTTACAGGGTTACAGGAACTGATCACAAGAAAGGACACTGTACTCCTTTAAAATGCTGTGACTGAACTGGAAACACGAACCACAAGACAGATACTTTAAAGAAGGTGACAACTCAAACGTCTGTTTAAAGCAAACTTATCACAACAGTGATGAAGAGGGTGTCGTTCATAAGTGTATATAAGTGCAAAATAAGTGTTTGATTGCATCTTCAAGTAAATTTAAATGAGCATTTCAGTAGATTAAATATTAATTGAAGATTTTGAACAGATGAAAGAGTGATCTGTAATTATACCAGGTGATTATTTTGTGCGTGTGTGATAACCAGTGCAACAAAAATAGGACAGTGCCTGATAATACTGCTTTGGAAGATGATTTGAACAGTGTCACAGAGGTACAAAATGAAAGTGAGACAGATTTCACTGTGCACATAAAAGGATAGGTTCGCATTTTCCCAAGTCTATCTTAATATAATGTTCAACGTACGTATGTATTGCATATCGAAAGAGTTGTGTGTATTCATGCCTTCTCTCCAGACTGGCCTTGAAGCAAGACCTTTCTTAAGACACTAAGAAATGCAGTTTCCATGTATAGTACAAAAACTCGTTGTGAAATTCAGCTAAAGCTCATATGACGCTTCAGTAGTCTGACTTAGCTGCAGAGTGAATATCTTGGTCCTGACAGTCACATGTAGTTATTGTTGAGGTTTTGTCCCAACAACAAATCTATACGCGACTACCAGGATGTGTTCCTCTGCCGTGGCTCAGCAAGGGAACAGTGTCCAGGGAAATTATAATGGGAATTAAATTAAAAAGTTTAGAACTCCAGGACTTTTAATGGGAATTCATAAGTATTATCTTCTTCAAACATAGTCATGTAACTTTTATGACTTTCTGGGGACCTCTGGGTTTAGAGGAGGGAGGTCTGTGAGAGGTAAATATATGATGCTTTACGATATGTCCTGATTATCAGGTGCCTAGAATGTTTTACAACGTATACATTTTTAAATGTCTTTACTTGGAGTGTCCTCCAAGGGACCTCTTAGGACAACATGTGCCAGTTGTTTGCCCGAGCTGTTTATTTGAAAACATGAATTGCCATCACAGAAACAAGATGTAGATACATGCTTGATTGGGCTGACTCAGACTGCTGAAGCTTGATATTAACTTTGACTGAACTTTACAATGTATTTTTTCTTTAACAAGAACGGCTTATTTTTCACTTTACGGGCAATGGACGGCCTTGAAGAGGAGGAATGTTTAAAGCAACCATAGACTTTCTCAACAAACACATGGGCCTGTAGGTGTTGTTTTATGATGAAAATCTAAACCTATACTTAAAATTTCATTCCCTTTACTGGAAGTCAATGAAACACAAAGTGAAAGTCCAATTTTTGACTAATAATAGAAACAGTTGGAGTTCAGAGTGAAGTTGTCCAGTGTCATCAAAACAGAGCTGCATGCCAGGAATCATTGTAGTTTGTACAAAAGTCATCTGCATGGAGTTTTGACATTTTCCAACTTTGTGGTGCATAATTGTGGAGTATAAATATATGAAATACATCCAGTCTGACAGACTCACTTGTTGGTCTTTATTTTGAGGTCTCTGCCCTTCTGAAGCTCGTGTCCGTCTTTGTACCAGCGGAAGGAAGGGCTGGGATTCCCCGATGCCTCACACTTCAAGTACAGCTTGTCCCCTTCCATCAGAGACTGGCCTCGCATCAGCCGAAGCTTAGGAGCAGAGGCTGGACGGAGCGAGAGAGAGAGACAAAGAGGGAGAGGAGAAAGAAAATCAAAGCTTGCATTATTGAAATTAACTACAGACATTTAGTTAATCATTCCATTTTATTGTGTGTCTGTGTGTGTGTGTGTGTGTGTGTGTCTTTGTGTGTGTCTTTGTGTGTGTCTTTGTGTGTATATGTGCATGACTCTGCATGTGTGTTTTTCAGATGTTGGGGTCAAAACCTGAGGCAATAGGTCAGAGTTCAAAAAAGAGATGACAACAGAACCAAGAAAAGTCAATGATACATCACCCAAACAGACTACACCAGCACTCGGGTATGGTCTGAATCCTGAAAAGCGAAGACAAACTGAAAGCTTTCCTCGGAAACTCTGCAGTAGATTTTCACTATGGTGGTGGGTTTACGTGTGTGTGCATGCATGTGCTTCATCAGTCTCAGGAGAATTTCACTCTTCTCTCCTTTAAAACTACAGCAGACTGCATCACTGACGCCAGCACAGGCAACACAAGCACACAGAAGCTAAAGCAAAGAGACAACTCAGCACCATCTAGTACCATTTATACACACACACACACACACACACACACACACACACACACACACACACACACACACACACACAAACACGCACACAGTGTTGAAGTGATAGGACATGCTTGATCAACTGTGAGGCAACTGTTGTATAGGCCCACAGCTCCTCACAGCTCTGCTGCATCCTCCCATTTACTCCTCAGTAGAAACTGCATATGTTGAGCTTCAACACGACACTCTAGGTCTATATGTCTGTGAATAAATACAATACAGCATACTGAAAATCGCATGCTGGATATTCCATGAGAACCTCATAACTCCAGTTCTAGTTATAGGATATAGGAGGACACTCTATGTCTTCTTCTAATACACAATACATAGTTTGGAAAACAGCACTAAGTGATTATGATGAAAGGTTTACGTGCTAAATTCAACCCACATTGTGTGGTTTTGCATTTTTTTAAAACATTGTGGCCTTTTGCTTTTACTGGATAGCGTTGACAGCAGAGAGTGACAGGAAACATTTGGTGGAGAGACATGTGGATGATGCGGTACAAAGGTTCCCATCCAGACTTGAACTGAGAACATGGCAATTATACATGTTAGTCTGCTGGGCCACTAACCTGGGTGTAGACCTCTGAATTACAGCCCACATCACAAGTTATTTTCATTGATTCAGATAGGTTTGGTGTTGTGGTCATCCTGGTTGGAGATACAACCAACAGAAAAACTGTCACAAAAATAACAGCAAGTATCCCGGATGGGATAGGTGCAACCATTCAGTTTGTTGTAAGTCACCTTTTGAAAATTTTTACTGTTACATATGTCTTTGATCTACATGACAAAGTTAAATTAACTGATCTTTCCACTAAAAATAAAGTTGGATAGGATCTTGATGGATTGGATACATCAGTCACTACTGCTAGGGTAAAACAAGCCCCCTCCTACAAAGAAATAAAGTGAATATAGTGTTAGGCTGAATTGTCAATTGAAAACAAAAATGGCATTACAGTCCGTTTACCAGATTACTGGGCCATCACAATGCATCAGCTTTAGTAACAGTATTTAACTAGTAACATACTAGAAAGTATCATAGGCAAAGCCTGATTAATCTTATTACTTTGTGCCATAGACCTCCACTCACTCACATCAGTGAGCCACAATGTTGCGCTTGGTGACATGGTCCTTCCTTAACATGATCCACTGTATTTGGACTTAAATACTCACTAGAGCTCCAAATAAGTATTAATCCCCTACTAAAAATAGTGAGAAATGCACTTTTTTAACAACTACAGTGCCCTGCTGTTTACACAGGGCAGTTTTTTTTAAACTAAGCTTTAAATTTGTGACCTATTTTTACATCTTCAGTAGGAACAAATGTGCTTCTAGTCCCACAGACAGGATAGGGAAGTCAGAAGGTATTGAGAGACTGACTAATACATTGCTGGTTTTGGTCTTTTTATGGGATTTATTCACAGCTACAAAAATATACATTAACACCAGCCTTATCCTCAAATTCCACAAATGGACATTAATGGGGGATGGGGGCTTCTATTAAGGGTGAACCTCTGTGAAGTACCAGCCAAACAGCTTGCAGTTATGCAAGTAAGATTTAGGTAGGATTTTTAGACTCACAACAGAACAAGCAGCACGTCTTGAGATGCAGTTCTTACATTTTGTGAGATTTAGTCTTGTCACGAACTTGACACACACTGTTGATGTATAATTCCACGTCACACCAAAGTAAATCATCTCAACATCACCAGATGCTGTCTCTTTCTCTCTCTCTCTCTCTCTCTCTCTCTCTCTCTCTGTGGCTCCTGGCTTGTAATGAGTTATGCTGAAGAACAGCACTGTGTCACTGTCATTATATATTTCTTGGAATAATTTGCCTGCTATTTTGGTAATTTCTGCTCAAGATGCCTAAGTCTCAGTAAAGACCAGATCCACGATTGAATCTTGAATTGACTCAACTAGACTTGGTCTTGGCTTGTGCTCCTCTTGACTGATGAAACCAAAGGCCATATGCAGACGAGACGCAGCAGTGGGCTATGTCCAACCTTTTTTCATGTTAACAACCAAGTGCAACACTGTGATGATGTTCCAACAGAAACTGTCTAATAGTGCAAACTACTTCTTTTTGATTATACCTCAACCCTTGTACTCCTTTATACACTTAAATCAAATATGAGAGGTCATATAATAGATCTAACATAGCATGAATGGAGCATTAAGCCTATCAAGTGGAGCCTTTTTAGACCATTGCTAGCTGGAAGTCATTACATGAAACATTCACTGTGTATCTCCCATTTAAAATGAGGATGAGTTACCAGGAACCTTTATTATATTGGTGAAAAGGCATAAAGTCAGATCTCACCGGGTTACTCTTCCTACTCTGGTCATGACAAATAGCTTTTCATAGCAAAATGAGCAGCCTCCTTGCTGTTTTTTGCTGTGGATATTTTGCAGGAGACAATGAGGAAATCATGGGAACTGTAATTTAATAACAAGGTACCATATGTGGAAAAGAGATGAGATTTCATTGTTGGAGGGACGACTTTAGGCCAGTTTTAGCAGTACAGATTTGACATTTAGACTCACAATGACAAAACACCTCTGAGAATAATAATCTTTGTTTGTATTGCACTTTTCAAAAGCAAGTTACAAAGTGCTTCACAGTCAGTAAATACATTAGAACAGTAAATTAACTAGAAATGCCACAGCAGAGTCAAATACATACAAAAAACAAATTACTGGTAAAAACATGCATGATTTCAAAGTCTGAATGAGTCAAGGCGTTGCTCTACAAAGTTACTCTACACAAACTACAGTTAACATATTTGTATCATTTCAAGAAACATGAAGTAAAACTGATGATAAAAAAACGGACAGACATTATAGTTGTGACTTCTCTGAAACCATTTAAAAGATGTGTGGGAGAAAGGGAGTGAAGTGTTAAAATGAAATTTAGGTCTCTGCAGATTGGAATATTTTTCTAAAGCTTGGCAACACATGTACATGAGTGGGAAGTTAAGACACACAGGAGGAGAAGGAGAGGACAGCCAGTTTGCCCATACATGCAGTGTTAAATAACAGTCAATCCTTCTGTCAATCTATTAATCAATCCCTTTAAACTACCTCAAGTGGTCAATTCAATCCCATTTGCAGGAGCACTACACAGCTTCTCTTTCTAACTGCTATTCCCACTGTGTGGCCAGAGCTCGGACATTCGCCCACTTTAAAGGAATAACGTCCTCAGATCCTCTTTAACTGTAAATATCAATCTCTAAGGTAGATTTCCTTTGACAATTCCCAAACAAATGCCAAACATAACACAACATAATAAGAGCAGAAGTAGACATTGTAGACAAAGCTAGAGAAAATTGTTGAGTTTTTTCCCTTGCCTTTTGCCCTACAGGATTTTCCCCTGTATTATTGTCTAATGTGGGTACAACATAGTGAGTCTAGAGACAAGAATTAAAATCTCACACATAAACTCAATTGTGGGAAATACTTGTACATGTTATAGTGTCCTCTACATTTTGCCATGAAGCAAAATCAACCCTGTCTACTATAAATAATGTTTAAAACTACTAATTTGCAACAGAAAGACTGTTTTCAGCAAAACGTCATTCTGCTCAAATGATGTAATAAGGAAACGTTCTTAATAAACATATATCTGCAAAAATGTTCTTACCAAACAGATCTGTAAATATTGACTGACAATATATTTACTTTGTTTTCTTGTAAATATTTGCTTTTGCATCACAATATCCACTCATTGCATCTAAAGCATGATTAATATTTTAAAGGTTAGGTTAAAGCACTGTAAGGTTTGAGAAAGATCACTGACTCACAAGACAGGACGTCTTTCTATAAACATGTACAACCAAAACCACAATCTTTCCTCCACCTTAACCAAAGTTATTTAAAAGCCTAAATCTAACCTCACACATGACTCAGGATGTGAACCCCAGTCTCAGGTGTCAAAGTCATGTGCTTCGGACACAAACCACCTACTATGAATGCCTCCATGTGACCTCTGTGCTGTACAAGAATGTGAAGGATAAAACCATGGCAGTGAACATAATCCAGTGAATCCAATAAAAGGTAACTGTCAAAGTAAGTTACAGTTTTTTAGAATCACTTTGGCACTATTTTCAGAACCTTGATGTCCTTTTTCAAAACTCTAACACTTTTTTCCAATTGCTTGGATACAATATACATAAACCTAAGATCATTTGTTCACTTAACTAAGAACAGTATCACCATTTTAAATCACTATTCACACATTACATTTGAGAACACTGTTTATTCATTACAATGATCTAACTATCAATTGATACAACTGCTCAAAATGATAACTGTTGCATTACTTTTAATGCATAGTTTTATGGAAACTGATTAACAATATTCCATGGAATGGGAACCAATTGGACAAAATTATCTGTGGATGTAATAATTCATCATTG